CTCTAATTTGAAATACTACTTCAAGATGGTCTTGCGCTCCTCAACAGCTGTGCTTCCACCCTTCTTTGACTGTCCTGCCTGTCACATGGTGATGCTAGCATTCATTTGATTAACGCTATCTTTTGAGCGAACGTCATACTATACATTGCTTTCATAATTCAATTCAACTTAGAAAAGTAGTACATAGATAACATCTCTTAAAATGCGTATACATTTTTGGCGCCCCCAGTGTTTTAATAATATGGTAGATTGCATTGATTTTTATTTTTTGAGACAACGACTTTGTCACCCAGGCTGAAGTTCAGTAGTGTGACTATAGCTCACTGCAGCCTCAGACTCCTGGACTTTAAGCAATCCTCCTGTGTCAACCTCCTGAGTAGCTGGGAATCCAGGCGAGCACCACCATGTCCTGCTATTTTTTTCCTTCCTTCCTTCTTTCCTTCCCAGAGTCTCACTCTGTTGCCCAGCCTGGACAGCTAATTTTACTTTAATTTAATTTATTTTATTTTTTTAGAGATGGAGTCTTACTAAGTTGCGTAGTTTGGTCTTGAACTCCTGGTGTTTTTCCTTCCTCGACTTCCCAAAGTGCTAGGCTCATAGTGGCGTGAGCCACTATGCCGGACCTGATTTATGTATTTTTTTTTTTTTTTTGAGTTGGAGTCTCACTCTGTCACCCAGACTGGAGTGCAGTGGCCGCTCCCGGCCACCGCAGCCTCAACCTGTTGGGCTCCGGCGATCCTTCCGCCTCAGCCTTCCAAGTAGCTGGAACTACAGGCGTGCGCTACCATACCCGACTAATTTTTGATTTGTTGTAGAGATGAGGTCTCGCCAAGTTGCCCAGGCAGGTCTCGAACCCGCGGGCTCAGGCAGTCCATTCACCTCGGCCTCCCAAAGTGCTGGGATTACAGGCTGAGCCACCAAGCCTGGTCGATTTATGTATTTTTAATGCTGAACCAACCTTGCATTTCTAGAATGAACCCCATCTTTGAGTATGCCTAGATTCAGTTCGCTAGTGTTTTATTAAGATTCATTCATAAGGGATATTGGTCTGTAATTTCTTTTAATATCTGTGTCAGGTTTAGGACCAGGTTGTGTTGGGTTCATAAAATTGAGTCAGCGTGTTCCTTCCTTCTCTACTTTCCTATGGATTTGTAATATTGATAGTTTTTCTTTCTTAAACGTTTGATAAAATTCTGAAACAGTTTTGCCGTTGGGTTTTCTTTGTGGAAACATTTTCTTTCTTCTTTTTTTTTTTTGAGTTGGAGTCTCACTCTGTCACCCAGACTAGAGTGCAGTAGCCGCTCCTGGCCACCACAGCCTTGACCTGCTGGGCTCCGGTGATCCTTCCATTTCAGCCTTCCAAGTAACTGGAAGTGCAGGCGCGCGCTACCACATCCAGCTAATTTTTTGATTTGTTGTAGAGATGAGATCTTGCCAAGTTGCCCAGGCAGGTCTCAAACCCGTGGGCTCAGGCAGTTCACGCACCTCAGGGTCCCAAGGCGCGGGATTACAGGCTGAGCCACCGAGCCTGGCTCCGGAAACATTTTTAATAGTTTTATTTCTTTGATTAGTTAAGGAGCTGCTCAGATTTCCTGTGTTAGCTTTTTTGTAAGTTGCGTGTTTTTCAAGAAATGTCTTCATTTCTTTTGAGTTGTTGAATGTATTATCATGAAGTTGTTGAAAATCGTTTTTTATCCTTTTGATGTCTGTAGGGTCTGTATTGATGTACCCTCTTTAATTGCTGATGATTTGGTCATTTGTGTCTTCTTTTCTCTTGTTCCATTTTGCCAAGGAATTATTAGTTTTATTAATCTTTACAGAATAACACCTTTTGGCTTTATTATTTCCACTGTAGGATTGCTTTCTACATCAGAATGATCTGCTCATTTTTATTACTGGGGCATTTCTAGATTGCTACTTGAAGTTTTGGTCAGAGAGCATGTTCATGATTTCAGTTCTTGTCACCTTACTGAGATTTGTTTTTTGACTAGGATATGATGTATTTTGGAGAATTTTCCAAGTGCACCTGAAAAAAAATATGCCTCTACAGTTGTTGGGTATTGTGTTTTTGTACATGTCCCTTTGGTTGCTTCATGGTGGTGTTCAGACCATACATACTTCCTGATGTTTTGTCTGATTCTATTAGTTCCTGGAAGTGAAGTGTTAAACTTCCTTACTCTAATGATGGGTTTATCTGTTTTTCCCTTTAATTTTGTTGGTTTGTTATTCTTTTTTTTTTTTGAGTTGGTGTCTCACTCTGTCGCCTAGGCTGGAGTACAGTGGCATGCATGCTCACGGCCACCCCAGCATTGACCTGCTGGGCTCAGGCGATCCTTCCGCCTCAGCCTTCCAAGTAGCCAGAACCATAGGCGTGTGCTCCCATGCCTGACTAGTTTTTTTTGATTTATTGTAGAGACAAGGTCTCACCAAATTGCCCAGGCTAGTCTCGAACCCGCAGGCTCAGGCAATCCACTTGCCTTGGCCTCCCAAAGTGCTGGGATGACAGGCTGAGCTACCAAGGCCGGTGAATAGTTGTTATTCTTGATATAGCAACTCCTGGTGTTACCTCTACCTGTCCCTCTAGTCATGTTTTTATCTTTTATTTTACCTGTTTAAGCCTGTGTTCACACCATTGTTCTGGCTTTAATTATTTGTTTCCATGAAACATCTTTTTCTATTTTCAATCATTTGTGTTTGTATTTATTTGTTTTCTTTAGTTTAATGCTTTAGGGGGTACACAAAATTTTTGGTTGCATGGTTGCATTGTATAGTGGCAAAGAAGTCTGGGCTAAGTGGACCCACCGCCCCCTCCTGTGCACATTGTTCCCAACAGGTGAGCTTTCATCCTTTTCCTTTCTGAGTCTCCAGTGTCCACGATCCCATTCTCTCTGCCTTTGCAGGCCCTTAGTTTAGCTCCCACCTGTAAGTGAAAACATGCGGTGTTTGGTTTTCTGTTCCTGCGTTAGTTCACTTAGGATGCGGTCTTCAATTCCAGCTGGTTTGCTGCAGAGGACCTTATTGCAGATTATTCACTACGAAATAATGAGTACCGAATTGTATTCTGTGGCATGTATGTATGTCTGTGTATTTTCATTATCCATCTATCAGTTGATGGGCATTTAGGTTGATTCCATGTCTTTGTGACTGTGAATTGTGCTGCATGTGTTTGTCTTAAAGTGATTACTTAGCAGACAGCTTACAGTTGCAACTTGCACTATCTCTGCCTTTTATTTGGTGTGTTCACAAGGTTGTGCAGCCGTCCCCACTGTCCAGTTTCAGAATGTTTCCATCACCCAGAAAAGAAGCTCCATACCTGTTAGCTGACTGGCTTACTCCTATTCCGCAGTCGTGACAGCCACGAGTCTACCTTCTGTTTCTATGGATTTGTATATTCTAGATATTTCCTGCAAATAGAATCATACAATATATACCCTTCCATGTCTAGCTCCTTTCACTTAGTATAATGTTTTCAAGGTTAGTTGTGTTGTAACATGTATCTGTATCCATTCTTTTTTTGGTGTTCATTTTTATTTTGAGTTGGCGGGTCTTACTCTGTTGCCCAGGCTGGAGTGCAGTGACACAATTACAGCTTACCGCAGCCTTGAATTCCTGGGCTCAAGTAATCTTCTCATCTCAGCCTCCTGAGTAGCTATAACTACAGACATGCGCCACCATGCCCAGCTAATTTAAAAATTTTTTTTTGTAGAGACAAGGTTTCATTATATTGCCCAGGATGGTCTCGAACTCTTGGGCTCAAGGGATACTCCCACGTCCCAAAGTGCTGAGATTCCAGGCATGAGCCACCACACCTTGTCTTGTATCCATTCTTTTCTATGGCCAAATAATTACCCCGTTGTATGGTGCTACTATATTCTGTTTTCGTGCTACTGAGTTGATGATCACATTCTGCCACCCAAGCACTCAGAATGGGGAGTGCCTGGGGCAAAGTGGCAAGCGTCAACTCTCACAGACCAAGCCTCTGACTGCAAGGGTAGGCTCTCAGCTCGGTACTGCCTGCTTTGCTCACTCTGCCTTGAAATACGTTTTAAGACTAGGCACGGTGGCTCAATCCTGTAATCTCAGCACTTTGGGAGGCCTAGGCGAGAGGATTGCCTGAGCCCAGGGGTTTGAAACCAGCCTGGGCAACTTGGTGAGACCTCGTCTCTACAATACATCAAAAAATAAGCCAGGCGTGGTAGTGCACGCCTGTGATTCCCTCTACTTGGAAGGCTGAGGTGGACAGATCGCTTAAGCCCAGCAGTTTGAGGCTGCGGTGGTCGTGAGCATGTCACTGCCCTCCAGCCTGGGCGACAGAGTGAGAATCCAACTAGTAAAAAAAATTTTTTTGAAAAATATTTTGTCCTAGGCAGATGAGGTGGCTCATGCCTGTATTCCCAGCACTTTGGGAAGGCAGAGGCGAGAAGATTGCCTGAGCCCAGGGGTTCGAGACCAGCTTGGGCAACTTGGTGAGACCTCGTCTCTACAATAAGGCAAAAAATTAGTCGGGCATGGCGGCATACACCTGTGGTTCCAGCTACTTAGAAGGATCACCTGAACCCAGCAGGTTGAGGCTGTGGTGACTGTGAGCATGCCACTGCATTCTAGTCTGGGTGACGGAGTGAGATGCCATCTCAGAAAAATTTTGGATTTTTTGGTCCAGATGTAAGAATTGTTGTCAAACCAAGATTTTTTCTTTCTTTTTATGTTTGAAGAAATCGGGTCTTACTCTGTTGCCAACCCAGGCTGGTCTTGACTTTTGTCCGCACGCGATCCTCCTGCCTCAGCCTCCCAGGAGCCAAGCTACTTTGGCAGTTCTGCTACTCTTCCTGGAAGCCAGAGCTGCCCTTCCTTTGTCCGGGGTGGTAGCTGGGTGCTTGACCCAGTGCCTCCGTTGGGGCGGCATAATTCCTAACCAAAGGGAGTTCTCCCATGGTTCCAGGGCCCCACTGTCCTTTCCATTCTGTCTCATTCTTCCTGGGCCCCCCTGTGATCGTAGGTCTCCAGGAAGAAGTGGACTATTCTGAGCAACTGAAGTTTAGCGATGATGAAGAGGAGGACGAAGTCGTGAAGGACGGCAGGCCCAAGTGGTAAGGCCCCTCCCCTGCTCCCGGCCGGGTGTGAGCTGACGGGTGCCACACGCACTTCCTGGTTCCCGCAGCAGCCTTGAAGGGCAGGCCTTGCTTGGACGGCAGGCCCAAGTGGTAAGGCTCCTCCCCTGCTCCCGGCAGGGTGTGAGCCGACGGGTGCCACGCGCACTTCCTGGTTCCCGCAGCAGCCTTGAAGGGCAGGCCTTGTTTCTGTCGCGCCCTGGGCATGATGGCTACTGAGCACAGCAGTAAGGAGTGGAGCCAGGGCTCGCAGCCAGGCTGACCACGTCCTGTGTTTCATGAGCATCTTCACCACTGTGCTGTGTGTCCCTGAGTGTACCATGCACGTTTGGGAGACCACCCTGCTGGGTTCAAGTTCTTTCTTTACTCCAAGATCTGTCTGAGCCTTGGACATGCGAACATGCCTGAGGTTGAGGGGGGCGGTGAGGGAGGTGGTGTGCAGGGGCGATGCCAGGTTTCCAAATTTATTCGACCACGTTCATCTCTTCCTTGTTCTTGTCATTTTTTTGGACGAGCTTTAGTCCGTGTCCTTTGGGAAACACTGCCTTGTACTCCCGCCCCTCCATTATTTGCTGTCATGGTGCGAGTGGCATTGGCTAGGACTTCAAAAACGATACCCGTGGTGGCTGTCCTTTGCAGTTTTGAGTTCTAGCAAATAAGAATGTTTTCCTTTGTAGGATCTCCTGTTTCCTTTATACTTTTTTTTTCTTCTTTTGGAGTCTCATTTTGTCCCCCAGGCTATAGTGCAGCACACTCATGGAGCCTCCACCTCCCAAAGTGCTAGGATTATAGGTGTGCTCCAGTACTCCTGGCCTTTTGTTTGTTTGTTGGAGTTTTTTGTTTGTTTGTTTGTGAGTTGGAGTCTCACTCCTTCACCCTGGCTAGAGTGCAGTGGCACACACACACTCACGGCCACCCCAATGTCAACCTTATGGGCTCCAGCGATCCTTCTGCCTCAGCCTTCCGAGTAGGCAGAACTACAGATGCGCGCTACCACGCCCAACTATTTTATATTTTATTGTACAGACAAGGTCTTGCCAGGTTGCCCGGACTGATCTTGAATCCGCCGGCTCAGGCAATCCACTCGCCTCGGCCTCCCAAAATGCTGGGATTACAGGCTGAACCACCAAGCCCGGCCACTTCTGGCCTTTTTTACACATATATCATTGTGCTTTCCCTTAAAATGTGACAAATACTTGATATACTTTAGACATTAATGCTTGTTATGTTGTACATATTTTTCTCTTTGTCCGTTTTCCTGTCAGTAATGGGATGTTTGCACAGCCAAATCTGTGAGGCCTTTTCATATTCCATCCTTCCCACCAATGCCCCTTTTCTGGAAGGAACTGGTAACAACTGTCTGCTACTCTTCTCTGATGTACACAACAAATGAGCTCACTGATTCTTCTGTAATTTATTTTCATGCTCTTTGATTTCAACTGAAGCTTTGGATGCATTTGGGATGTCTCTGTGGGTCAGCTCTTGGAACACTGTGCTCGGAAGGAGATGTGATCAAGAATCTAAATCAAAGGCGAAGACATAAAATCCTAGAGCCTTACTGGAACCATAGGACACTTTGTTCCTTGTCTCTTTCTTGCGATGTGAATTGAATATTCACAGGAAGGAATTAGACATGGGTTTTGGACCTGGCTTTGACCAAGGACACGTCAAATTTACAGTGCCCAAGCTGCCTCCTCCTGAGACTCAACACAGGCTTCCAGGTCATCATCTTTGTTGTTTGTTTGTTTCTGTTTTTGAGTAGGAATCCCACTCTGTTGCCCAAAATGCAGTGCAGTGGTGTGGCGCGATCAGTGCTCACTGCAGCCTTGATCTTCTGAATTCAGGTGATCCTTCTGCCACAGCCTTCCAAGAAGCTGGGACTACGGGCATGTGCCACACGCAGCTAATTTTTAAATTTTTCTTTTTGTGGTGACAAGATATTGTGACGTTGCCCAGGCTAGTCTCAAACTCCTGGGCTCAAGCAGTCCTCCCACCTTGGCCGCCTCCCAAAGACTGGGATTGTGGACGTGAGCCACCACGCCTGGCCCAAGTCTTTTTGTCATCTTTCTTTTCTTGTGTGTGATTAGCTTGTGAATCTTGTCTCTGAGGCCATCAGGACCAGCCTCCTTTTTTTCCCGGACCTGACCCAATTTGTCTCCTTCCTTTCCTCCTACCTTCTTCTGCCTATCTTCCATACTTTGCTGCAGTCATCCTCTCAAAACGGATCTTTTCTGCCGTTTGGAAACTTTCGTGTGGTCTCTATTTCTCACTGAGCCAAGTCTGAGTCCCCAGCAATCGTTGTTCTTTCTCTTGTCTGATCCATCTGACCTGGCCCGTCCTCCCTCCACATCCACGTCCCCGTCCCCGAGTGTTCATGGACTCCCGCAGGCACCCGGATCAGCCCGTACCTGATCCTGCTTTCCCTGACGTTCTGCTCTGTTTCCAGGCACTTGTATGTGCACATCTGAGTTTTGCTCCGGTGTTTGTGCTTCCACCGGGACAAGTCAAGGCACAGATCTTTCTTGCCCAGGTTCCCCTGAACGTCTTTTCCATGCTGCGTGTGCCTTGCTCTTTTCATCTTTTTCTTTTGAGCTGGAGCCTTACTCTTGCCCTCGGGCCAGAATGCAGTGGCACGATCATGGCTTGCTAAAGCTCAAGCGATCCTCCCATCTCAGCCTCCTGAGTAACTGGAGCTACAGGCTCATGCCACCACACCCAGCTAATATCTTGATTTTTGTAATCACAAGGTCTCACTGTATTGCTCAGGCTGGCCTGGAGCCCCTGGGCTCAAGCAATCCTCCCTCCTTGGCCTCCCAGAGTGCTGGAATTATAGGTATGAGCCACTGTACCCAGCAATCTCTTGCTCCTTTTCTTACCCATGATTCAGTGGGCCATCTCTCCTTTCGGAGTGTTTATCGAGGGCCTTCTTTATGCAGCATACCCTCAGGGCACCGTCTTCTAAGTCCTGCTTCAGATCTGTGAGGGCGACTCCCTTTATCTCTGTGAGACTTGGCTGTTAACTCTGTATAATAGAGGTAGTGGGGACTTTTTTTTTGCAGTCAATGAAATAATAAATGTGACACATTCTGCCTGGAGCTTTGCGTATAAGGGTGACTTGATAAGTGTCGATGCTTAATTTTGGAGTTAATACACAAAGGGTGGAGTGGGGGTCTATTTTGGTGAAGGACACCGGTCTACGAACTGGTCAACTTTGGCATTCCAAGGGCCTCTGACCGGCAAGATTAGGCATGCTTAGCCTGACTGGGAAAGCGTATCACGTAACATGGAGTGTGCTTTGTCCCAGGAACAGCTGGGACCCCAGGCGGCAGCGGCAGTTGTCCATGAGCTCTGCAGACAGTGCTGATGCCAAGCGCACCCAGGAGGAAGGCAAGGACTGGGCTGAGGCAGCGGGTGTGTCCCGAGTTGTTAGGAAGGCGCCAGAGCCGCAACCACCCTCCAGGAAGCTTCATGGTTGGACATCGGGCTCTGACTACCAGGTACACGGACCCTGGGGAGGTTCTGAGTCTGGGTGATGAGCTGGGACACACATGTGCATACACGCACATACATTTTCTCCCTCCCTCCCCTGTCCTCCCTCTCCTCCTCTCCCTCTTGCACTTTGTTCAGACCAGAGTTCCAGGACAAAGACTAAAGCAGGGCCTCTTGTTGGCTCCTGTCACGTGTGCATCACTGTGTTTTGTGACTGGATCTCTGAACAGTCCTGAGTGGGCTTTCTAAAAAATTTGCATGTATGTATGTATACTTGCATGAACGAGTTAGTCGGAGTCTCACTCTGTCACCCCGGCTGGGGTATAGTGGCATGACCAGAACTCACTGTAACCTTGACCTCCAGGACTCAGGTGATCCTTCATCCTCAGCCTTCCCAGTGGCTTGGACTACAGGCGTACACCACCACGGTGGCTGATTTTTTTGATTTTTTTGTTAGACACAAAGTCTCGCTGTGTTGCCCAGACTGGTCTTGAGTTCCTGGGCTCAAGCTATCCTTCCACCTCGGCCTCCCAAAGTGCTGAGATTACAGGTGTGAGCCACTGTGCTTGTCTGCAACTCCTTTCTTTTTTTTTTTTTGAGTTGGAGTCTCACTCTGTTGCCCGTGTGCAGAGTGGTCTCACTGTGTTGTCTGTGTGCAGCGGCACACTCACGGCTACCCCAGCATGGACCTGCTGGGCACCAGCAATCCTTCCGCCTCAGACTTCCAAGTAGCCGGAACTATAGGCATGCGCTACCATGCCCGGCTAATTTTTGACTTATTGTAGAGACGAAGTCTTGGCAAGTTGCCTGGGCTGGTCTCAAGCCTGCAGACTCAGGCAATCCACTCGCCTCGACCTCCCAAAGTGCTGGGATGGACAGGCTGAGCCATCGAGCCCGGCTGTAATTCCCTTTTTCTTTCTTTTCTTTTTTTTTTTGAGTTGGAGTCTCACTGTGTCGCCCAGACTGGAGTGCAGTGACCGCTCCTGGCCACTGCAGCCTTGACCTGCTGGGCTCCGGCGATCCTTCCGCTTCAGCCTTCCGAGTAGCCGGAGTAGTAGCCGGAGTTACAGGCATGCGCTACCACGCCTGGCTGATTTTTTGATTTATTGTAGAGATGAGGTCTCGCCAAGTTGCCCAGGCGGGTCTTGAACCCGCGGGCTCAGGCAATCAACTCACCTCAGCCTCCCAAAGGCGTGGGATTATAGGCCGAGCCACCGAGCCCGGCTTTTTTTCCTTTTTTCAAAGGGAGAAATGCGTCTCCCATCACCCTGTGTTTATACTCATTGGTCAGTTGCCCATATGTGACCACTTGTCGGCTACCACTCTCTCTTCCTTGCTCAGAATGCCCAGTTTGCCACTCAGATGTCACTGTTTCCACTCCAGAATGCCCTGCATTCTTCTGCTGGGCCGTCTTTTCTTATGAGTTCTCACCTTGCCGAGTTCTGATCATCCACGCTGAGCCACCATGACACCCCGGCACCCGATGCCCAGTTTGCTTTGCTGTGCCCTTGTGACCTTGGGACGGGATGATCAGGAGGGAAGGGCTGGGGCAGCACGAGGCATGACTTGGAGTACACTTGGCAAGCATGCCCTTTTCAGTGCACTTGGCAATTTAAAGGGCTCCTGGTCTACATCTTACAACATGAAAATACCCCTAACTCCGTGTCTTCTCATTGAGTGCCTGTTACATGACAGGCACTATCCTGGGTACAGGGGACAGAAAAATGCAACAAAATATACATAGCGCTGCTCCTCTTGGAAATTACTCTGCAATTAATCTAACTTTCGTTCATATATTGGGGTTGCTCCTCGGGTAAGGTGATCCTCTCGCTTCTGCCCTCTGAGTCGCTGGAACTACAGGCATGTGCCATCATGTCCAGCTAATTTTTTTTTTTTGGTAGAAACAGGGTCTCGCTATGTTGCCCAGTCTGTTTTTGAACTCCTATGCTCAAGCAGTTCTCCCACTTTGGCCTCCCAATGTGTTGGGATCATAGGCGTGAGCTACCATACTTGGGCCTTGTATCCACAGAATCTTCTGACCAAATTTCTGAAAAGATCGACTAAATATTTTACAGAACACTGAGTCTGTAAAATGGCAACTAATCTCAGGGAAGTTTAGAAAGGCACATGAAAAGTCATGACAGTGTACCTCTACCATATGAGTCTTGTATTTCATTTTTAGGAAGTTATCTGAAGGAGGGAGTCATGGCTGCTATGCATGAATGTTTTTGTGCAGGCATGTACTGAACACCAGGGGACTTGGCCGATGATGATATAAGCCATGTAATGATTAGTGCGTGGTTCTTACTAAGCAGGGACAGATATTCATGTTCAATGACAAAGTGAAATAAAGTATGTACTTTGGTCCCAGGCATATTATGTAAAATGTACCTTCATGCTTCAACTTTGAAAGTTTATAATCCTAGGATTATAATAACTGACTCTGGATTATGGGAAGTTAATTTTTCAGAGAAAACTCCTTGACTACAATAAACATGCCGTATATTTAATTAACCTGCAAGAAAAGGCATGGATCTTGTTTATTATTTGTTTGATGATTTTTGACTTTTTTTTTGAATGGGAGTCTCACTGTCACCCAGGCTGTAGTGCAGTGGTACACTCACGGCTACCCCAGCGTTGACCTGCTGGGCTCCAGCGATCCTTTCGTCTCAGCCTTCCAAGTAGCCAGAACTACGGCACGTGCTACCATGCCCAGCTAATTTTTTTTTTTTTTTTTGAGTTAGAGTCTTACTCTGTTGCCTAGACTGGAGTGCAGTGGCCGCTCCCGGCCACCGCAGCCTCGACCTGCTGGATTCTGGCGATCCTTCCGCCTCAGCCTTCCAAGTAGCTGGAGCTACAGGTGTGCGTTGCCACGACCGGCTAATTTTTGATTTATTGTAGAGATAAGATCTCGCCAGGTTACCCGGGCTAGTCTTGAACCTGCGGGCTCAGGCAATCCACTCACCTCAGCCTCCCAAAGCACTAGGTTTACAGGTTGAGCCACCAAGCCTGGCTTAATTTTTGATTTATTGTAGAGACAAGGTCTTACCAAGTTGCTGGGCTGGTCTTGAACCCGTAGGCTCAAGCAATCCACTTGCCTCAGCCTCCCAAAGTGCTGGGATTAAAGGCTGAGCCACTGAGTCTGGCCGATAATTTTTTTTTTTTGAGTTGTGGTTTTACTCTGTCACCAAAATTGGGGTGCAATGGCACCATCATGGCTCACTGGACTCCTAGGCTCAGGTTATCTTCCCACCTCAGCCTCCCAAGGTGCAGGGGCTACAGGTTAATTTTTTGGTTTTATTTTGTAGAGATGAGGTCTCACTATGTTGCTCTGGTTAGTCTCAAACTCCTGGACTCGAACAGTTCTCTCACCTTGGCCTCCCAAAAGTGCTGGAACTTCAGGCATGAGCCACTGGGCCAACTGGTTTTTGACAATTGTATACTTGTGTGTAACTGCCATTCAGAACAGGAAGTTCTGCCTTTTGATAGCCAAATCTCATTGGAAATTTACTGCCTGGGGCTCAGGCAGCACTTGCCCCTCATTGGTCACTTGTATGTTCTGCATGTGGCTTCTCTCTCTGCAGCCAGTGAGAAGTGGCCTCACTCTTGGGACTTTCCCAACTGCATACTGCCCTTGTCGTCCAATAGCTGGCAACTAGCAAGAAACTTGGATAAATATTCAACAGAGATGTTTTTCTTTCTTTTTCGTCTTCTTCTTCTTTTATTTTTATTTTATTTTTTGTTTGTTTGTTTTTGTTTTGTTTTGTTTTGTTTTTTGAGTTGGAGTCTCTGTCGCCCAGACTGGAGTGCAGTGGCCGCTCCCAGCCACCGCAGCCTCGACCTGCTGGGCTCTGGCAATCCTTCCACCTCAGCCTTCCAAGTAGCTGGAATTACAGGCATGCGCTACCACGCCCGGCTGATTTTTTTTATTTATTTTAGAGATGAGGTCTTGCTGCCCAGGCGGGTCTCGAATCTGCGGGCTCAGGCAATCCACTCACCTCAGCCTCCCAAAGGCACGGGATTACAGGCTGAGCCACTGAACCCGGCTTTCTTTTTGTAAGCACAGGCGGGCTCTCACTATGTTGGCCAGATAGGTCTCAAACTCCCAGGCTCACACCTCATCCTCCTAGAGTACTGGAATTACTGGCATGAGCCACCACACCTGGCCAAAAGAGATATTTTTCGATGTGCTTTTTTATTTTTCTATTGAGATCATTTTTCAGCTATGGACCTGGTAGTGAATTTCACCCTCCCGTGGCTCTTTACACCCAGGGTGTATGTATGTGTGTTTTCATGGGACTTGGGGACAGTAGCAGTTTTGTGACTTGGGAATGGTGCCTCTGTGGTTTCTTGCTCCTGGTCAATAGGGAGGCCATGGAAGCCATGGTCTTGTGTGCCATCAGCAGTGGTGAGAGTGCCCCAAACGTGCCAGTCACAGTGTAAAATGCTTTGCAAACATGAGTTTGCTTTTCACCTTTCTAGTCCCGCGGGCTTCCTTTATCATCCTAGTTGTACGAATGAGGAATTAAGGTATGGTAAGTCTGGCACTTGCCCGAACCTCCTTCCAAGAACAGCAAGCAATAGAGCAGGATTCAAACTCTGCTCTGCAGTCACATACCTTTGTTGCTTCTCGAAAGTGCTCAGAGATCTCGAGGAGGAGAGCTGACCCCACGGGGGGCGTGGCCACTGCCTCCTTTGTCTGTCTGACCCGCCGTCTCATCCCAGACTTTGTTCTCTTGGCAGAAATCCTCCGTGGGCAGCGTGGGCAGTGTGTTCCGGCAACAGTCGATCGAGGACAAGGAGGACAAGCCACCCCCGCGGCAAAAGTTCATCCAGTCAGAGATGTCCGAGGCCGTGGAACGAGCCCGCAAGCGCCGGGAGGAAGAGGAGCGCCGTGCCCGGGAAGAGAGGCTGGCTGCCTGCGCCGCCAAGCTCAAGCAGCTGGACCAGAAGTGTAAGCAGGCCCGGAAGGCAGGCGAGGCCCGGAAGCAGGCGGAGAAGGAGGTGCCCTGGTCTCCAGGCACTGAGAAGGCATCCCCCCAGGAGAATGGCCCTGCTGTCTGCAAAGGTAAGGGAGTGGCTCGTCCCACCAACTGGAGTCCCTGGACTTGTCACCAGTTTATGATTCGCCCCTCCTTGCTTCTGAGTCAGCAGACCCTGTGGCTGGCAATGAGATTCCATTGGAAGGCATCAGCTAGTAAGAGCTGAGGCCTGGGCCGAGTGTCTGTATTCTGGTTCTATTTCAGCTTCTTAGCTTGACTGGTGAGCGCCTCACCTTTCTGGAGTTTGTTGCTTTCTCTCTGAAGTGGGCTGAGTGGCACAGAGCCCCTTGCCAGTGCACTGAGGGCCAGGCTGCATGCTCATTCCCAGCACTGAGAAGGCATGCGGGGGCTCCTGCCGGCGTCGATTCTGTCACCACCATCGTCACTGTTACCACTGTCATGCTCAGCCACAGATACAAGTGCTACCGAACTTTAATCAAGCCACAGGATTTTTTCACATGGAGTGAATAGAGGCCCACATGCTTGTTAGAATCCATTTTCCTGGCGTTAGCTGGTAAAGGAGTGGATCACGTGATCCTATTTCAAGAGACGTTGATCAGTGCTATGCGACCGAAAGCATCTCTTGTAGCAGGTTCAAAGAGTATGATTAGATGTATCCTTTTTTTTTTTCTTTTTGAGCCTGTTGTCCAGGCTGAGTGCAGTGGCACAGTCAGGGTTCACCACTGCCTTAGCCTTCTAGACTCAGGCAATACTTTTGCCTTAGCCTACTGAGGTAGCCGGAACTATAGGCACATGCCACCATGTCCAGCCAAGTTTTTATTTTTTATTAGAGATGGGGTCTCACTATGTTGTCCAGGCTGGTCTTTTTTTTTTTTGAGTTGGAGTCTCACTCTGTCACCCAGACTGGAGTGCAGTGGCCGGGAGTGGCGTGCACTACTACACCCGGCTCATTTTGATTTATTGTAGAGATGAGGTCTTGCCAAGTTGCCCAGGCGGGTCTCGAACCCGCGGGCTCAGGCAATCCACTCACCTCAGCCTCCCAAAGCGTGGGATTACAGGCTGAGCCACCGAGCCCAGCTCAGGCTGGTCTTGAACTTCTGAGTTTATGCGATCCTCCTGCCTCAGCCTCCCTGGGTGCTGGGATTAAAGGCGTGAACCTCCATGCGTGACCTTTTTCTTTTCTTTTTGAGTTGGAGTCTCATTCTATCACCCAGACTAGAGTACATTGGCACACGGCCACCACAGCCTTGCCCTCCTTGGATCAGGTGATCCTTCAACTGGAACTACAGGCATGTGCCACTGCACCCAGCTATTTATTTTTTTATTGTAGAGATGAGGTCTCTCCAAGTTGCCCAGGGGGTCTCGAGCCCATGGGCTCAGGCAATTCTGTCACCTCGGCCTCCCAAAGTGCTGGGATTATAGGTGTGAGCCACCGGGCCTGGCCTGTAATTTTCTTAAGTTAGAGCAACTCTAACACTAGGCAAGAGTCCAGTGTTGCTTTCAGTCCCTGAACGCTTCTCAGATGGGGTCTGATAGGTGATCTGATAATCCTATTGCCCTTCTGGCCAAGGAGCTGAAGTCTGTGATTTTCCTTCTGACCTCTTCTTGTTCAAGTCTGAAAACGTCAGTCTTACCCGTGGCACTCATTGAGCTGGGGCAGTGGAGAAGTTGCACTGAGCACTTTCTGCTTGTCGGCATGTGGCTCACTTGGGGCCGGCCAGGGTCCAGAGAGCTAGTCGCCTAGTGGGATGGACAAGCCGACGGGAAGCAGCTCTTGCCGGGAAGTGCTGGGCCCACTGAGCTGCAAGCTCATGGTGGCATTTCTTTGCCTTCTGTTTCCTAGGCTCCCCCGAATTCCCTGCCCAGGAGCTCAACACCACCTTCTCAGAAGAGGCCCCGTCCACCTCCCCAGCTGTGGCGCACAGCAGCAGCAGTGAGGAAGAGGCCAGGGAGGCTGGGTCCCCCGCCCAGGAGTTCAGCAAGTACCAGAAGTCCCTTCCTCCCCGTTTCCAGCGCCAGCAGCAGCAGCAGCAGCAGGTGAACAGACGCGGCGTCGGAAGGCTGTTGGAACAGGCCTGACGGCGGAGGCTCCCCGCCACCCTCCCCCCAACTGCCTCTAGCGTCCGGAAAAGCAGAACACCCTTGCGTATCCCAGTGATGGAGCCTTTGTGGTGGTATATACATCGAGCTCCTTGTGGTTCAGCATGGAGAATAGTTTTTCTTTTTTTCTCTTGATGGTTTCTTTTGCTTTGCAGTGTCTTTCTTTTTTTCTTGGAGTTGGGGGGTCTCGCTGTGGTACCCAGGCTGGAGTGCAGTGGCAAATAGTGACTCATTGCAGTCTTGACCTCCTGGACTCAGGCAGTCTTCTCACCTCAGCCTCCCGAGTTGCTGGGACCATAGGTGTGCGTCACCCTGCCTGGCTCTGTTTATGTTGCCCAGGCTGGTCTTAAACTCCTGGTCTCAAGTGGTCCTCCCGCCTCAGCCTCCTAAAGGGCTTGGATGACAGGTGTGAGTCCCCACGCTCGGCATGAGTGATTTTCCCATTTCAGAGCAATATACCTTGGATACACCTTAGACCCACAGTGGGCCCTTACCTGGGCCCCCCCAAGTTGGAAGTGAGGCCTGAGAGCTGTTTCAGGAGGTGTCAGAGAGAGGCATGTCCCCTCTGGGTTACGAACAGACGTAGGTTGCAGGTTTCAAGTCGGACAGCCGCAGGCTCCCAGCCTGATGGGGCTGCTTAGCTGGTCGTGTGTGGCCTTGGACAGATTGGTTATGTTCCTCCAGCCTGTGTTTTTTCCTGTGTAAACCAGGAATCATGAATATGTGCCTCCCAGCATGGCAGTCAGACTGTTATATGGTGATGCCTGCAAATTGGTTTATGGTATCGTCATTGTTCGTGTTTTGTTTTGTTTTGGTTTTTGGTGTTTTTTTTTTTTTTTTGAGTTGGAGTTTCACTCTGTCGCCCAGACCGGAGTGCAGTGGCCGCTCCCAGCCACCGCAGCCTCGACCTGCTGGGCTCCGGCAGTCCTTCTGTCTCAGCCTTCCCAGTAACCGGAATTACAGGCATGCGCTACCACACCTGGCTGATCTTTTGATTTATTATAGAGATGAGGTCTCGCTGCCCAGGTGGGTCTCGAATCCGCGGGCTCAGGCAGTCCACTCACCTCAGCCTCCCAAAGGCGCGGGATTACAGGCTGAGCCACCGAGCCCAGCTGTTGGTGTTTTATAAACCTTAAAAGGGATCTGCACTTGCCTGAAAGAAGATCACGTTGTCATACCCATCTCTCCTCGTCCTGGCAGCCTCGATGCACTCACTGGCAATTATGTTTCTTGGAGTAGTAATGAATAACAGAACAAGTCGTTACTGAGGAATAGTTCATGTTGGTAGAAACCGAGATGATACAAAGACATGACTGAGTGCATGCCCAGCAGTAAGGTGTGCAGTCAACTGTTACTTGCTAACCGAAAGTATTTCAAACTGTGGTACCCTGGAGAAACAAACCAAGGGCTTTTCCCAGTCTCTCATTTAATTTCCTCTGAAATTCTCTCCCCAGCCTCTTCTTCTTGGGGCCCCTTGGAATGTCCTGGGGTCCTCTTGATGGTGCCTGTAGAGCGCTGTAGTGTAAATGAGCTGTGCACAGTTACCGTGTTTTGGGGTAGAATTACTGATTGGAGCGATCTCTGGAATCACTCTTGGCAGACCCAGCTGTGACAGTCATTCTGGGTAACTCCTCATAGGGGCGGGGTAAGGCAGCGATGGGAGAACAGAAAAGTCTGCGGCCTTAGGGCAGCCCTCCTGGGCAGATTCTGCAGGGGCCTGGGGTCTAGACAGCAGGTGGTGCTGAGAAGGCTACAGCCTTCTGTGTGGGCTGGGAGAGCTCGCGACTCGGGCCCTTGGTGGATGCACTTTGTCTATCGAGTGCTCCGAAAAGTTGCCAGGTGCGCCAGCAGGACCTCCAGGGAGTCTAGCCCTGGCAGGATGTCTGCAGAATGAATGGGTGTGTGTGTGCTGGATACCTCTCAAGTGGGTTGTCTTGGAGTGTGAGGCAGTGGTGGGTCCTGCTGGAAGGCTGATTCGGGAATCTATTAGGAATTCAGCACCAGAGGTCACTGACCGGCAGGAGCAGGGGCCGAAGTGAACCCTCTTGAGTCAAGGGCCTTGATTTTGAATATTCCTTGGATGCTTTTCATTTATTTTTGAATTGGGGTCTCACTCTGTCACCCAGGCTGGAGTGCAGTGACACAGCCATGGCTATTGCAGACTTTACCTGCTAGAGTCAGGCAGTCCTTCACCCTCAGTCTTCCAAGTAGCTGGGATGACAGGCACATGCCACCACACTTGGCTAATTTTCAAAAATTTCTTGTGGAAACAAGGTCTCGCCATGTTGCCCAGGCTGGTCTCAAACCCCTGGGCTCAGGCAGTCCTCTCCTCTTAGCCTGCCAATGTGCTCCAATTGTAAGTGTGAACCATCACACCCGGCCTCCTTTGATGCTTTGCGTTCATTCACCCCGGTAGCAGGTGTTCTGTGTACTGGGTGTGGGGCATGGTGCACAGGGAACTGGGCATGTACAGTTTCTCGGGCTTAAGGAGAGGTAGGTACCTGAAACAAGAAGCCACAGGGAGGGCCACAAAGGAGAAACGGCAGTGCCGTGGGAGCAGAGAACAGGAACCTGGTCTTGTCTGGGGCTTATGACAGGCTTCTCAGGGGAAGCGTTGTTTGAACTGGAAGGCTGGGTTTAGACATGATGGGAAGAGGAACTTCCCAGTCAGAGGACCCAGAGTTTCTCAAAGGCTGAACTGGGTAGGCAGGGATGTGTGGGTAGAGAGCCGGGGCAGTCAGGCGAATCACAGCTCAAGAGGTAGGCCAGGCAAGGTGGCCTGCTGGTTTGTAGGTCACCTGTAGCCTTGTCAGCTTTGGGCTGTCAGGCAGAGTGGTAGAGAACTGCCCAGGGGTGCCTTTGAGCCAGGGCTGACACATGGGGGCGTGGGGGCGGTTGTGTGAAAAAGATCACCCCAGTTGAGGGTGGTCAATAACTTGATGAGACCAGGAGGGAAGAGGGAACTGTCTTCGTGTGGTGGTCCTCGTGTGGTGGCTGAAGGCAAGGAGGGAAGTGGCCAGCGTCCAGGGATTCAGTGCAAGTGTGCTGGCTGGTCCTAGGAGCATTTAATCAAAGTGAAAGCCTTGCCTGTGTCGTGTAGCACACGTGCACATGGGTCCCAGTTGTGACAGCAGACGACTGCCCTTTCTGCCTTGGACAGGGGCTCCCACTTGAAAGCTGTGACACATACCTCACCCCTTTGAGCAGCCGCCCGTCCTTCCCTCTCTGGTGTTCTGGGCCGCCGCAAGGGTGGGTGTTGGGTGGCATCTGTGTCCGGCCGTGCCTGTCTGACTAGGTTTCTCTCTCCTCCTGTGCAGGAGCAGCTGTACAAGATGCAGCACTGGCAGCAGGTGTATCCTCCGCCCTCCCACCCCCAGCGCCCCTTCTACCCGCACCATCCGCAGATGCTGGGCTTCGACCCCCGCTGGATGATGATGCCTTCCTACATGGACCCACGCATCCCACCCGCGCGCTCCCCAGCGGATTTCTACCCCTCCGCCCTCCATCCTTCAGGTGAGTGCCATGGCCCGGTGGGCCTTGCTGGTTACGGGTGTCACCTCAGGAGCTAGATAGACCCCCCGGGTTTCACTCTGACCTCTGTCAAGTCACAGGACTGGTCTGAGTTATAGCATTCTCGTGTGCAGAGTGAAGTCATAGTAAGAGTTCCTGTCACGAAGAATTGTTGGAAGGACTCATTAAGATCATGCTTTATAAATTGCTTTAATTAATTTTATATTTCTTCTATGCCATTTCTGTCCCTTTTTCCATTCTTAATGTTCTTCATGACTTTGCTGTCTTTTTTCAGATCTTTCCCAAGGTTTGTTAGTGCTTTTTTAAAATCAGTTTTTTAGTCTAAATTCCTTTTTTTTGGGTCAGGGTCTCACTGTGTCACTTAGGCTGGAATGCACCCGGCTACTGCAAAAAAATTTTTTTCTTTTTTTTGAGTTGGAGTCTCACTCTGTCACCCAGAGTGGAGTGTAGTGGCTGCTCCCGGCCACCGCAGCCTCGACCTGCTGAGCTCCGGCGATCCTTCCGCCTCAGCCTTCCAAGCAGCTGGAACTACAGGAGTGCGCTACCACGCCCGGCTAATTTTTTGATTTATTGTAGAGATGAGGTCTCGCCTGCCCAGGCAGGTCTCGAACCCACGGGCTCAGGCATCCACTCACCTCAGCCTCCCAAAGGTGCGGGATTATAGGCTGAGCCACCGAGCCTGGCTGGGGAGTACATCTTTGTGTCTACATCATGTGTTTGATTTTACCCACAAGGAAGGTGACTTTCACTTTCCAACGTTGGCTCCTTTAGGTTTATTGGGATTATTATATTTCGATTTTTCAACTTCAGTATTTTGTGAATTATATTTTTATCCCTCTTTTTCTATGCTTCTCCACCCCCCGCCTTTTCTTGGATTATGTTTTCTTTTTTTTTTTGTCTTCTACATTCTATTTCTGTATGTTAGTGGTTACATTAAAATTTGTAGCCTGTACCCTTTTCTTAGCAATGTCTAATCAGTGTCTTTACCCTTCAGCAAAATTCTGATGACCTCCCTCCAGTCTCACTTGTGTTTTTGGCCTAGAATTTCAATTCTTCCTATTTTTATGCCCACCAAAAGGTGACTTATTTTTGTTATTATATCCCGTCTGTGCTTGTTCAGATTTGCCTGAATATTTACCAGTTTCTCTGCATCTTTTTTCTTCCGTCGGTGTTCAGTTTACATCTTCATGAAATGCATTCTTCGGTGCTTCAGGAAAGTTATTTGGTAATAGATTATCTGTGTCCGAGGCTTCATTTCACCCTTTGAGTGATGGGTAGCTGGGTGTAGAAGTCTAGGCTGGTAGTTATTTTCTTCTAATGCTGTGAAGGGAGATTCCGTTTCCTTCTGTCTCCTATTGGTGTTGAAAGTCTGATTCATTTTTGGATAATCCACTTTGCTTTCTCCCTGTCTGCTTTTAAGATCTTCTCTTTGTCTTTGGTGTCCTTTAGTTCTGTCTTCGTGTGTTGTGTCTAGATGGAAATCTGTATTTGTATCTTACTCTGCTTAATCTAAGGAAGTATGTCCTTAGTCACTTCTGGAGCATTTAGTTCTAATTACTGCTTCGAATATTGCTTCTTCCTCATTCTTTTTAACTTTTCTTTCTAGAACTTCCCTTAAGCTTATTTCAAACTTTCTTATTCTGTCTTTCAAGTTCCTTCTCATTTGAGAGAGAAAATAGGAAAGAGAGGTTATCTCTGTGTTGCCTTCTGGGAAATGGCTGTAGAACAATTTTCCTTTCATTTCTCTCCCTGACTGTTTCTGTTTTGCTTTGTTTCTGTCCCCAGTGGGCTTTTAATTTCAGTGACTATATATTTTTATTAATAGAATTTGTTCTGCATATCTGTTGTTTTCTCTCATCTTGTAATTTTCTGAATTGTTCAATTCTTACTTTTAAGCATTTTAAGCCTACTTTCCTAGTGTCTAAGAGATGATTCTGTCATCTGAAGTTCTTGGTGGGGGCATCTCATTGTATGGACTCAGCATGAACTCATGGTGGGTCACTTTCCACACGTGTTCCGGTCATTCTGGATGGCGAGTTCATCTTCAACAGAGTTTGGTCTGTAGGAGTCCAGTATGGTCTGAGTTGAGGGCGTATCCCTTCAGAGTAGTTTTGTGCTTCCTTCTGCAAGCCTAGAACCACCTTTTTTGTTGACTTGGAAGGTTTCTGAACTATTCTGGGAGATAAAAGTCTGAACTCTCCTGGCTCCTACAGCCTCATGAAAGCAAGTGTGTGGTTTTGAATTCCTGGGCAACGGTACTATTTTTTTCTCATCTCTTGTCCAGTTAGGACAGACAAAACTTCCCTCCCTACACTAAAGAGCATATATTTAATGTACCTTTTGAGGGTGCAGCCCTTTGAGGATCTTTTTTCTTTCTTTATTTTTATTTTTAGAGACAGGGTCTTAGGCTGGAGTGCAGTGACACAATCATGGTTCACTGCAGCCTTGACCTTCTGGGCTTAAGCCATTCTCCCACCTCAGCCTCCTGAGTAGCTGGGATTTCAGGTGTCTGCCACTACACCCTGCTCATTTTCAGTATTTTTTGTATAGACGAGGTCTCACTTTGTTGTTCAGGCTGATCTTGAACTCCTGGGCTCAGGCATTCCTCCCAACTCGGCCTCCCGAAGTGCTGGGGTTACAAACATGAGCTGCCAGGTCTTTGTATTAAGCAGCATCTCAGCTGCAACTCTCTGCCCTTTACAAAAGACCTCATCTCCTGTCTGGTGAGTGTTAGAGCCCAAGCCCATAGGTTTTCTAGGACTGACAGCTGTGCTTTTCTTGCTCCCTCCAGGGAGTTGAAGGTAGTATTCTGGAAGCCAAGATTGGACAGGTAAGATTGCAGGGATTTTACCTTCAGAGGTTCTCTGGTCAGAAAAGATCAAGAGCCCATGATGTCTCCGTGGGTGGGACGCCGTGTCCACATGACAGGTGACAGTTGAGCCTTGGGTTGACCCTGAGATTGGAGCAGTCACTCTGAATGAGGTGATGCAGGTTAGTCTTTGCCTTCTTCAGGTCTCATGAAACCCATGATGCCCCAAGACTCCCTCAGTGGAACTGGCTGTCGCTCTGAGGAGCAGAACTGCGTGCCCCCACTCCAAGAGAGAAAAGTGACCCCCATCGATCCAGCCCCTGTGTGGAACCCAGAAGGCTACCTGGCATTGCCGAGCAAGGGCTACTCGCTTTCCCACACCAAATCGAGTGACACTCTAGCTGTGGACACGCGTGTCAGGTGAGACGCGGCTCGGTCCTACTGCCTTGGCACTGAAGGGGAGGACTCCAGGTCCTAACTGAGAGTGCCCTGGGAAGGGGCCTTGTGCCAGGGAGCAAGATGGGCTCCCCTGAAGGGACTTCCAGTGCCCTTGGGGAAGGAGAGTGTGAGGAGACGCCTGAGTGCTTTGTGTGAGAGGCTCTTTTCTATGGCGGGACTCCAGGCTGAGGAGAAAGCCCAGGGCCATCACACCTTGGACCCAGGGCATGTGGGTGGGGCCTCATGGGACAGGTGGGGTTGAGAGCGTGTGTCTCGGCTCGTTCCTGTGAAGGCACACACAGCTGGCCCTGCCGTCCCCGTGCCCCAGACGCTTCATGGACTCCCAGGCTCCAGCTTGCTCTTTGAACCCGAGGATTGCCCAGCTCCTCTCTGTCACAAGGGTGGCACCCTCATCCACCCGGCGGCCACGGCCTTCTCCACTCTCACGGACTCCAGGGGCCACCAGCCCATCCATGGCCCAGCATCTCTGAGACGTGTTTAAAGATAGAGCAAATGTTGGTGCTTGTGTTTTTTTCTTTCTTTTTAAATTTTTTTTTTCTTTTTAAAACTAAGCTCTGTGTTCAGCATGGAAACCAGGAACCAGGCTCCAATCACATTGACTGATTTTTCTGGTTCCTTTTCAGGAATGAAAGCTCTTACTCTGCCTCACCTGGAAGGTCAGGGGGCGTAAGTGCCCAGCGCGATCTCTTTGAGGAGAGAGGGGAGGAGTACTTGAGTGCTTTTGACAAGAAGGCCCAAGCAGACTTTGACAGCTGTATCTCTTCTCAAAGAATAGGCCAGGAGCTTTTGTTTCCACCCCAAGAAAATGTTCAGGAAGCGGGTGCACCCGGGGGTCACACCCAAAACCTCAGGTGTTCCCCACTGGAGCCTGACTTTGTCCCAGATGAGAAAAAGCCTGAGTATGGCAGTTGGGACGTTAGCCACCAGCCAAAGGCCGCAGATACCACCCACGGTGTCGAGCCCGAGGCGCCCCGGGAGGGGACAGCCTTTAGCATCTCCTCCTGGGAGAAGGACAGGAGCCCCGCCAAACAGCCATCCTCTGAGGCCGAGTGGACGCCTGAGCCCCGCAGCTCCAGCAGCCAGCACCAGGAGCAGACGGGCAGGACCCGGCGGTCGGGGCCCATCAAGAAACCAGTCCTGAAAGCCCTCAAGGTGGAAGAGAAGGAGAAGGAGCTGGAGAAGATGAAGCCGGAGCTTGGAGAGGAGGGCGCCCGGCTGGCCACGGAGAGGGAGCAGGTCTGCAAGGCGGAGAAGGACGAGGATGAAGAGAACGACCCTGCCCTGGCCAACGCCTCTCCCTCCTCCAGGGAGGACAAGGGCCCCGCCCGTGCAGGTGTTGGCCACGAGGCCAACAAGCTTGAAGAGGACGAGAAGCCCGACAAGACCTGGGAGCCCAGACCCTCACGCGAGTCCAGCGACATCCCCCCGACAAAGAGAAACAACTGGATCTTTATTGACGAGGAACAGGCCTTTGGGGTCAGAGGGCAGGCCCGGGGCCGGGGCCGCGGTTTCAGAGAGTTCACGTTTCGTGGTCGGCCAGCCGGCGGAAACGGAGGCAGCCTCTGTGGCGGGGGGGTCCTGGGGGCACGCGGCCTCTACAGCAGCAGCCCGCGCAGCGGCCGGGGCCGGGGCCTACGGGAGTTCGCCCAGCCAGAAGACTGTACCCGAGCCAAGCCCCGGCGACGCATTGCCAGCGAGACCCACAGTGAGGGCTCTGAGTATGAAGAGCTTCCCAAGCGGCGCAGGCAGCGGGCATCGGAGAACGGGAGCGAGGGCTCGCTGCTGGACAGGGAGGAGGGCGCCCTGAAGAAAGGCGACTGCAGGGACTCCTGGCGCTCCAACAAGATGGGCTCCGAGGACCACGCCAGTCTAGATGCCAAGAGCCGGGCTCCTCGTGCCTTTGCGCGAGCCCTCCCTCCCCGGCTGAGCAACTGTGGGTATGGACGGAGAACCTTCGTCTCCAAAGAGTCACCCCACTGGCAGAGCAAGAGTCCGGGCGCCTCCTGGCAGGAGTACGGCTCCCCCGACACGTGCGGACCCCGGCGGTCCGCAGACAGAGACTACATCCCAGATTCCTATAGACATTTGGACTCGTTTGGTGGCAGGGCCTTTGAGGACAGCCACCTGGAGGACAAGAGGTCCTTCTTCCAAGATGACCACGTGGCAGATTCTGAAAACGCAGAGAACCGGCCCTTTAGGAGGCGGCGCCCCCCACGCCAAGATAAGCCCCCACGCTTCCGGCGCCTCCGGCAAGAGCGGGAATCCCTGGGCCTGTGGGGGCCCGAGGAGGAGCCCCACCCGCGGGCGGGCCAATGGCCTGGACGGTCCAAACTGTGTCCTGGGGACAAGAGCTGCACTGTGGGTCGCAGGTCCCCTGAGCTCTCCTGCCAGAACTCCTCCGATCACGCCAACGAAGAGTGGGAGACGGCCTCCGAGAGCAGCGACTTCAGCGAGCGGCGGGAGCGGCGGGATGGCCAGGCAGCCGAGCCCGACGCCCAGGCGGAGGGCGGCCCATCAGGGGCCAATCTGGGCGAGAAGAAGGAGCTGGCCAAGCGGAGCTTCTCCAGCCAGAGACCCCTGGTTGACAGACAGAGCCGAAAGCTGGAGCCGGGAGGGTTTGGGGAGAAGCCCATTAGGCCAGGTGGTGGTGACACGTCCCCCCGTTATGACAGCCAACAGAATGGGACGCCTTTGAAAGCCAAAAGGTAAAGCCAGGCGCCATCCGGGCCCTTTTTGTCGTTGTCGTCCTGCGTGTCGGCAGCACTGAGTCATGCATGCATCCCCGCCACGCGTCGGGAGCCTTGGGAGGGCCTGCCCGGGCCATCGTGTGTGAGCATCTCCATCAATTGCTCCTGCATCGCTTGTCTGCTTCTCTCGTGGTGGTGTTGTTGTTGTGGCTTGACTTGACAGAATCAAAGCTAGACCCCTGCCCCCAGGGCTTCTCCTATGGCCAAGGTCCCGCACCCAGTCCGGGAGTTCAGCCTCTGTGTGTGTCCCCAGAATCCCACCACAAGGGGCGCTGCCCGGCCAGCACCGGTCAAGCCCCAGAGTCTTCTAGCCAGAGTTGCTGCCAGGCAGTGCCTGGGGGGCATCGCTGGCCTCTGCTTCCCATGGTGGGGAGACCCAGCCCCACTGCAGGGTTGCCGCCGCGGCATGGCAGGAGCCCAGCATGAGCAACGGGGAGGCCCTTGAGTGTCCCTCTCTGGAGTTCGGCTCAGGCTGATAGGCTGTGCTCAGGTCAACTCCTGGCCTACAGACTTGCCCTGGGCCAGGGAAAGGGTTGCCAGTGCAGCCAGGGGTTACTGACCATGCCTCAGACTGTGGGCTGCAGGGGTAGTGCGGCTATCCATGTCCTCAGAGCATGCTGAGGATGATGGCGTCACACCTCCACTGTTCCTTAGAATCCGAGGCCCGTAAGTTTGGGTGTTCCTGCTCCCCGAAAACAGAGCCGCAGGGGTAGACTGAGACTTGACTTTGCTGCAGATTTGTATCCTTGGGCCTTGCGGAAGGGCAGGCCGGAGCCCCTGGCTGGTTAGTCTCCCAGATGAGAACAGACAGATCGGCAGCTCTGTCCAAAGCGTATGCCCTCTTGTTTTTTCCCTTCTGCAGTCTTAGGTTTAGCGTGCAATGGGAAGAAGCAGCGGGGCCCTTCCTGGGAAGGGGCAGACAGAGCTTGGCTCTGCAAGGGCGACTGCCACGTGTGTTGCACAGGGACATGGTTGCCCCACTGTGGTGAACCGTCTCTGCCTAACTGAGGAGTCGGGGAAAGGAAACAGGCCTAGCTCAGGGTGCCATGTTTGTGTGCCGGCCGGGTCCATGCAGATTTTTCTGTCCTCTTCTTTTCAGTCTTTGGTTGTGTCTAAGTTAATGAGATCCTCTTTCCTTTATAGGTCTCCGGAGGAGGCCTTGCCTGGAGGCCTGAGTGGCTGCAGCAGCGGGAGTGGCCACTCGCCCTACAACCTGGAGCGGGCAGTCCATACGAACGCTGATGTCCCTGAAGCCTCTAGCAAGAAGGCAGAGAAGGAGGCCAAGTTGGCTGCTCAGAGGGCCGGCGAGCAGGGAGAGGCCATGAAACAGTTTGACCTGAACTACGGAAGTGAGTCACCCTCACATCTTCACGGGGAGGAAGAACCCAGGCAGTACCAGGGGCCGGGCAGTCTCGGGGCTACTGAGTTTGCTATCTCACTAAGTATCTTAGCATCTGAGAACTCCCCTAGGCAGCCCCGTGCTAAGTTCTGGGCCTGCAGTAGTAAGCAAAACAAACGGATAGGATTCCTGCTCGAGTATTGCTCACAACCTGCTGAATCCCTATAATGCCCTGCGGTTTTCCATTTTAAAGAGGGGAAGCTGGCTGGGCACGGTGGCTCACACCTGTAATCCCAGCACTTTGGAAGGCTCAAGTGAGAGGATCACTTGAGGCCAGGAGTTGGAGACCATTCTGGGCAATGTAGCAAGATATCGTCCCTACAAAAAATTAACCAGGCATGGAGGTGCCCGCCGAGAGTCCCAGCTCCTCGGGAATCACCTGTGCCCAGAGGAGGTCAAGGCTGGGGTGAGCTGTGATCGTGCCCCTGCCCTCCAGCCAGGGCAGCAGAGTGAGACCAGTCTGTCACCACTGCTGGAGAGCAGTGACACGATCATGGACACGCCTGACTCCAGAAAAGGGAGGGATGGAGCCCAAGGCCCGCAGCAGTGCCGTGGTGTGTCCAAGGTCCCACAGTGGCTAGGAGCAGAGCTGGGATTTCAGCGTGCTTGTCTCCTGAGACTTCCCTTGCTCCTAGTGTGCTCAGGCTCTTGGGTTTGAGAGGTCAGTGGGCGCATCAGAGGCGGCAGTGGAGGGTGCGGATGGCACATCCAGCTCTCCGCTGAGCCTTAGATGTCAGGTGCCTGTTGAATTGGGTTATTCTTGCCTTCTGACGGTTGGAAGCTCTGTCCCTTCTCGTGAAATCCTGGTCCAGATGCCATCATTGAAAATTGTGGGCCCAACGCTGGAGAGGAGAGTGAGGTGGGCTCTATGGTGGGAGAAGGTTTCATCGAAGTCCTGACCAAGAAGCAGCGTCGCCTGCTGGAGGAAGAGAGAAGGAAGAAGGAGCAGGCTGCCCAGGTGAGGGGCGTGGGAGGATGGGGTGGGCAGGAGGGCTGGTGCAGGGGAGTGGGGACTCCCAAGAAACCTGGACCCTAGGGCAAGAGAGTTCTGAGAAAAGCCCAAAGGAGCAGAGAACAAGAAAGGAATATTAAGCATACGTTGTCGCCCAGTGCCTGCTGACAGCCTAGCCCTATGGGAGTAGACAGTGCTGTCACTGTTCTACAGAGGGAGAAACTGAGTCCCAAAGTGATGGCAGCTAAATCGGCCGAGCCAGGACTCAGACTTCTGTGGGCTCCCAAGTTCATCCTCCCACCACTGCCCTTGTGGGATGAGATTTGCCTCCCTGGGAGTCACATGGCCTGGACACAACTCACGATCCATTGACCATCAGCCCTTTCTGAGGGGAGGTTTGCTTGGCATTGCATGTCACGCTGGTGTCGAGGTCTTGGGAAACAAGTATTCGGGCATCCCTGGGGCATTCTCAGGTGGCTTCTGTTACCTGGGTTGTGTGTCCTGGGGAGAATGTGTCATTCTCCATGCCTTGGGCTGGACTGCATTACCTTTTTTCCCCTCTTAGGTGCCCGTCAAAGGTCGAGGCCTTTCCTCCCGGATTCCTCCTCGATTTGCGAAAAAGCAAAACAACTTGTGCCTGGAGCAAGGCGACGTGACCGTGCCGGGCAGCAGTCTGGGCACTGAGATCTGGGAGAGCAGCAGCCAGGGTGAGCATTCAGTTCAGCTGTAGGGCCCAGAGCTGTCTCACAGGCCTGGGGTCACCTCTCGGAGCCATGAATACAGACACAGTGTTTCCCGTGTCCTGGGCTCCTCTGTTGACCCACAGTGTTTTTTCATTTGTTTGAATGGGAGGTCTCATTCTGTCACCCAGGCTGAGCGCAGTGGCACCATCACAGCTCACTGCAACCTTGGCCTCCTGGGCTCAGGCTCCTGAGTAGCTGGGACTACAGGCATGCACCACCACACCCAGCTAGTTTTTGTTTGTTGTAGAGATGAGGTCTCACTGTGTTACCTGGGCTGGTCTCAAACCCCTGAGCCCAAGCAATCCTCTGGCCTCAGCCTCCCAAGTGCTGGGATCATAGTTGTGACTCACCATGCCTAGCCTGATCCAAAATGTTGAAGGCCATCCTAGAATTGGGTGCTGCTGCAGTCCCTGAACAGTTTTCTTAGCCTAAAATTTGATGGAAAGGTAGAGCATCCACTACGTCCAGTGATCTGGACCAAGACTGCCCCAGAACCAAGATCACTTGGCTGTGGCACTGACCTTTGCCCATGGCAGTTGGCCTCTTTCTTGCCTATGGAAAAGCAGCAAAGGATGGACTGGGGAGGCCAGCAGGCATTCAGCAGCCCTCTCCTGCGTGCTCTGCTCCCTTCCCTGTCACAGGGGGATGTTCTGTGAGCTCCTCCCGAGCGCTCTCCTCAAAGGGCCCACTTGAGACCAGAGGAAGGTGTACCTAATTTTTTTTTTGAGTTGGAGTCTCACTCTGTCGCCCAGACTGGAGCTCAGCGGCCACTCCCGGCCACCGCAGACTCGACCTGCTGGGCTCCGGCGATCCTTCCGCCTCAGCCTTCCAAGTAGCTGGAACTACAGGCGTGCGCTGCCACACCCGGCTAATTTTTTTTATTTATTGTAGAGATGAGGTCTCGCCAAGTTGCCTGGGCGGGTCTCGAACCCACGGACTCAGGCAATCCACTCACCTCAGCCTCCCAAAGTGCTGGGATTACAGGCTGAACCACCGAGCCCAGCTGGTATACCTAACTTGATGGAAAATTTGTTTCCCTGAAAAAATTGATTTCTTAAATTTTGTATCAAATGCTACTTTTCTGGTAACTTTTCCTTTTGAAATACAAAACCTGGCCAGGCATGGTGCCACACACGCCTGTCATCCCAGCTCTTGGGGAGGCCAAGGCAGGAGGATCACTTGAGCCCAGGATTTTGAGACCAGTCTGGGCAACATAGCGAGACCCCGTCTCTACAAAAACTTAAAAAATTAGCTGGGAATGGTGGCATGCCTCTGTAGTCCTAGCTACTCAGGAGGCTGAGGTCAGAGGATTGCCTGAGCCCAGGAGGTTGAGGCTGCAGTGAGCTATGATTGTGCCACATCACTTCAGTCTGGGTGACGTAAAACCCCGATTCAAAAACAAAACAAAACAAGAAACCATTTTAATTAAGCAGGTTCTCCTTGAATGCTTCGTTGGGACAGGGCCCTGCACTGTCAACCCAGAGCGTTCGTAGATGAATAAAACTGGGACGTTTGACAGAATGACCAAGGCCTTAGAGAGATCATCTGGTGCCAGCTCATTTTTATAGAAAGCAGAGTTAAGTGACTTGACCCCAGCATCACATGACAAGCACGTAAGACGCTAGGTTCGGGGTCTGGAGTCTTTCAGTTTTACCACATAGCCTGTCCTCATTTCCAGTGAAAACTTTGGTTCCTACACTTAGCAAAATAACATTAGTCAGTATTCAACTCTGGTTGAAAGGGAGCACGTCATCTTATGACAAAACTTTGATAGTGGTGAATTTGCTAGGGTGAGTGATTGATAGATAGCATCAATGTCCAAAAATATTCATGCACCAGATTGTTTAAGCAGCATGTGCCAGATGCTTTTGTCCAGTCTTTTTCTTCAGGATTCTAGAATGTCTCATTGATTGCTCAGATCGGGGGTTCACAGATGCCTTCAGAGGGCCTCTGAATCTTAACATAACGCAAAAAAGAGCTTTTTTGGTTTTGTTTTTTTCTTAAGAGATGGAGTCTTCCTGTGTTGCCCAGGCTTAAGTGTTCCTCCTGCCTCCTCATCCCGTGTAGCTGGGAATACAGGCATGTATCACCATGCCTGGCTAGCATGCAGTTTTTGTTTTGAGTTAGAGTCTCACTCCGTCACCAAGACTGGAGTGCAGTGGCATGCTCCTGGCCACCACAGCCTCGACCTGCTGGGCTCCCATGATCCTTCCGCCTCAGCCTTCCAAGTAGCCAGAACTACAGGCGTGTGCTACCACGCCCAGCTAATTTTTGATTTATTGTAGAGATGAGATCTTGCCAAGTTGCCCTGGCAGGTCTCGAACCTGTGGGCTCAGGCAATCCACTCACCTCAGCCTCCCAGAGTGCTGGGATTACAGACTGAGCCAACGAGCCCAGCCAGCATGTAGTTTTATGTGCATATATATTTTTCTGGGCTTAGATTCCATGGCTTTGGTTGGGTTCTCAGAGATAGGTTTGTGAGCTAATAAAGTTTAAGTAATACCTGTTTGGATCTTTGAAAGACTTTAAGAAGCTACCGACTTTTAGAAACAAGTCGTTTAAGTGAAGAGAAGCATCAACATAACAGAAGTAGTAATAGAGAATCCAAACAGGTGTGAATAAAAAAGTTGCTGGTGTGTTTGCCATCACATATAGTCAATTAAATACTGAGAAATGTGTTGAGTTAGCTCTGAGGATGTCACATGTTGGGAAAGGCTCCTAGGCCTGCTCTCTTGCTTGTATCAGATCTGCTCACCAATGTGTCTGTCCTTGGCAGGTGCCAGGGAAGGTGGTGAGGGGAGTACCTGTGTTTGTTCCGTAAGAACTCATGAATGTGGCTGGGTATGGTGGCTCACACCTGTCATCGGTGGGAACGTTGGCTGCTTAAGCCCGGGAGTTTGAGACCAGCCTGGACAACATAATGAGACCTTGTCTTTACAAAAATTAGCCAGGTGTGGGAGTGTGTACCCATAGTCCCACCTACCCGAGAGTCTGAGACTGACGGATCACCGGAGCCCAGAAGGTCAAGGTTGCAGTGAGCCGTGCACTCCCAACTGGGCAATAGAGTGAGACCCTGACCAAAAAAAAATATTTGTCCACACTGTTGCTCCTCTTTATGCACTGACCTTGCATTTCTCCGGCAGCCCTCCCCGTGCAGGCCTCAGCCAGTGACTCCTGGAGGAAAGCTGTCACAGCCTTCACTAGCACCGAGCCAGGCTCCGCCGAGGTGAGTGTGGCTGCCACCAGTGTGCTCAGCACATTCTTGGTCCACACGGCCAGCCTCCCTAAGCCTCTGCCACGGCGGCCAAGCCTAGAACTGAGGCCACTTTCACAGGCATCAGCCTGTCCCTGGTTTTCTGTCTTGATTCTGGTGTGCGTAGGGGGCCCGCATAAGCAGGAGAAAGAGAAGGGGACTGAGGGAGTGAGTCACAGGGGGAGAGAGGGGTGAGGGCTAGGGGGCCTCCACTGGACCCGTCTTGGTAGTCATTCTGCCTGGTGTGGGTCACGAGCGGCAGGCGGTTGGCGCACTCATTGTAGCCCACGGAGGATCTTGTGTCGTGAGTCAAGCAGGGTGGGTGCATTCGGCGCGTGCGAGCCTTAGGTTGTCAGGCGCCTTTGGCAGGTCATGGCCGAGGTCAGGATGAGACCTCGCAGGGGGCCGGTGGCTGGAGGAAATGTGTCTCTGTGCCTCTCACAGTCTCACTTTCTGAATCATGGTGTCTCGGAGTTCAGAGGCAGAGCTCTAACCCCTCTGTGCTCTGCACAGCAGGGTTTTAAGAGCAGCCAGGGCGACAGTGGTGTTGACCTCAGCGCCGAGTCGCGGGAGTCATCTGCGACCTCCTCGCAGCGCAGCTCCCCGTATGGCACTCTGAAGCCAGAGGAGACGAGCGGGCCTGGCCTGGCGGAGTCCAAGGTTGACGGCCACAAGGAGCAGGCCCGGAAGCAGTCTGAGCAGAAGGTAACCTGGAGGCCCCTCCTGGCGGCAGGGCCCGGGTGGAAGGGGCCCGAGTCCTGCTTCCCTGTTCCCAGGGCACTGAGCCGCGAGAGGCTGCAGTCGCTCTGGGCCGTGTGTCTCAGCCCGTCTGCTTTTCCACCAAGGATTCAGAACAAGGCTCTGGACAGAGCAAGGAGCACAGACCAGGACCCATCGGCAACGAGCGCTCCCTGAAACACAGAAAGGGCTCGGAGGGGGCTGAGCGTCTGCAAGGGGCTGTCGTCCCACCCGTCAACGGGGTGGAGATTCACGTCGACTCCGTGCTGCCTGTGCCGCCCATTGAATTTGGAGTCAATCCAAAAGTGAGGCACTGACTGGTTGCCTTCTCTCTCTTCTCCCTCGGTCCTTGGAGAGGGTGGGGTTTTAGACAGGGCTGACTCCTGAAGGAGCAGGAAGATGGGCGGAGCGCAGTTCCAGGGACTAGAGTCGGTGTGGTGTGCAGATGGGGCAAGTACGCGCCTGAATTGCCTTCTGGATCCTCACTGACACCAGCCAGGCTCTCAGGCCGAGCAGCCAGTGACCTTCCCCGTCTCCCTCAGGCCACCCGGGGCAGGGAAAGAGGAGGAAGGGGACTTCCTTTCTCTGGTGCCGGCGGGAGGTATCTGGTCCTCCATCTCACGTGCGGCTCCGGCAAATGCTGCTTAGGGGGTTTTTGAGTCACAGAACTGTGGATCATGCTGACGTGTGCCCCTGGGGAAACGTGAGCCAGCAGGACTTCAGCGGACCGTGTGTCCTTTTTTCCCAGGACTCTGATTTCAGCTTGCCGCCTGGTTCTGCCTCTGGTCCTGCAGGGAATCCAGTTGTTAAACTTCAGGATGCCTTGGCCAGTAATGTAAGTCTGCACCTCTACCCCTGCTCTGCTTGCCTACCCTGTGGCTGGCAGGCAGGTCTGGGCAAAAGAGAGACAGGTACAGGCATGTGCCACCATGCCTGACTAGCATGTAGCTTTATGTGCATATGTATTTTTCTGGACTCTAGTCCATGGCCTTGGTTGGGTTCTCAGGCAGGTCCATGAGCTAACACAATTTGAGTAATACCTATTTGGATCAACTTTTAGAGATAAATCGTTTAAGTGAAGAGAAGCATCAGTGTAACAGTGGTAGTAATAGAGAATTCAAAGAGGTGTGAATAAAAATGTTGCTGATGTGCTTACCATTGCATATAGTCAGTGAAATACTGAGGTGTTGAGTTAGCTCTGAGGATGTCAGGGGTTGGGAAAGACTCTTAGATCTGCTCTCTTGCTTGCATCAGATCTGCTCACTGATGTGTCTGTTGTTGGCAGGGGCTGGGGGAGGTGGGGGAGGTGCTATGGCCAGGCTGACCGCCTTGGAGTCATGACTTGGTTTCTAGCCAGCTACCTGTCCTCGGGCAAATTACTTAAATGTTCCACCCTGACTGGGTGCGGTGGCTCACACTTGTAATCCCAGCACTTTGAGAGGCCAAGGCGGGAGGATTGCTTGAGCCCAGGAGTTTGAGACCAACCTGAACAATAGCAAGACCTCGTCTCTACCAAAAAAAAAAAAGTCAAAAAATTATCTGGACGTGGTGGCACATGCCTGTAGTCCCAGCTATTCAGGAGGCTGAGGTGGAAGGATTGCCCGAGGCTAGGATGTTAAGGCTGCGGTGAGCCTTGATTGTGCATGGCACCCCAGCCTGAGAAACAGTGCGATCCCCCCACTCCCAACAAAGAAAAAGGTCCACGTTCGGGTTTTATGACCTTCCAGTGGGGAGAATGTAATTCCTAAGGTCTGATTTATTTGTTTTTCTTTGGTTCCACAGTCTTCTTTGTGCCAGGTGCGAGCTGAGACTGGGTCAGGCTGTTTTGTGGCCGGGTGGGGGAGTGGGGGGGCACAAATAAAGTAGTCGAGGGCCTGTCTCACTGCCCGAGGGTCCCTGGGGTCTGTGGTCTGACTCTGTTGTAAACCAGGAGACCTCCTGTCCCTCCACTGTGGACTCAAAAGCAGGGAGACGCATCTATTGTGGTCACTCAGGACAGGTCTCGATAGAAATGGTGAATGAATCTGTATCATTTGAGCAGGATTTCCCAGAAGATATCGAGGAATACTCATGCTGCTGACCATTGATAGGTGTTGAGTGGAAACAGAGTTCTATGGTCACATATGATTGAAAATGCTGAGCTGAACAAGTTTCCTCACCCAGAGACTTCTTGGAGTTGCTAGCGAACTCCAGGGCTCTGCTGGCGGAGGGGAAGGGCTGGCCATTGCACTTCTAGCCTCTGTTACCACAGGCCTCTGTTTCTTGGTTTGTCCAGGGACATAACCTGCCCTGTCTAGACCAGGGTGTCACCAAGTGCATGTGTGCTTGGCCGCCGGTCCGTTCTTAGGATGCCAGGGCACACCTGGCCCCATCTGGAGGGACTGTGGGGAGTGGGTGTGGAGGTGGCTCTCCCCAGGCTTGTACAGAGGAAACTGACGAGAGCAGGTCTGTCTGGAGGCAGGCGTGGCCTTGGCTGCCACCAGCTCCGTCTAGGTGGTCTTGGGTACATATAGCCAGAACTGAACATGCCTTTGGACAGGCCGTCCCATTCCTGTTTGTGCTTCAGGCTTCCTTTCTCCCCTCTCCAGGCAGGGTTAACACAGAGTATTCCCATCCTCCGGCGGGACCATCACATCCAGAGGGCCATTGGTCTCTCCCCAATGTCCTTCCCCACCGCTGACCTCACTCTGAAGGTAACACAAGTCCTGAGCCGGGCGAGGGGTCCCGCCGTGCCTTGGCTAGTAAAGAGACAGAAGGGAGGAGTCCCCAGCCCCCTGAAGCTTAGACTGCTCTGTTCCCTGCTGCCCTGAGAGTAATGTTCACCCGCTCCCCACTTGCTTCCGAAGATGGAGTCTGCGCGCAAGGCTTGGGAAAACTCCCCCAGTTTGCCGGAGCAGAGCTCTCCAGGAGGGGCCAGCTCGGGACTCCAGCCTGCATCCTCCGTGGGCGCCTCCAGCGGAGTCAACTACAGCTCCTTCGGTGGAGTGTCCATGCCACCCATGCCTGTGGCCTCTGTAGCGCCTTCTGCTTCTATGCCAGGTATCTCATCCCCTGAGCCAGCCTCGGGCACCTTCTCCACTTCTTGTTGAGACACATGTTGGGTTAACAGCCCTAAACCCCCCTCCTCACCCTGCCTTACAGAGCGTGTAGAAGTAGGACTTGTGGATGCGGCAGCTCACGCCTGTCATCCCAGCTCGTGGGCTGGCTGAGGTGGGAGGAGTGCTTGAGCCCAGGAGTTCGAGACCAACCTGGGCAACATACTGAGCCCTCATCGCTACAAAAAAAAAATCTAAAAAAAATTTAGCCTGGCATGGTGGCACATGCCTGTAGTCCCAGTTACTCGCGAAGCTGAGGCAGAAAGAAGGATCACTTGACCCTGGGAGTTTGAGGCCGTGGTGAGCCATGATAGTGCCACTGCTGGGAACTGGGTGAGACTCCGTTCAAAAAAAAAAAAAAGCAGGACTTGTTTTCAGGTGGGGTGGGCATGGCTTCCGTGTGCTGCGGATGGCATGCCCCTCTGCCTCCCACCTCCTTGCTCTGGGAAGTGGCACTGTGGGACTCGGGCAGGGTGCTGCCGCCTCCCGGTGGGAGGAGCTCGCAAAGGCAGCTTTGGTCAGACCTGGTCCCAGACCCGTGCTGTGCCACCTCGCCAGCAAGTCGCTGCCCTCCCTGAGCCTCCGCTTCCTCCTCTAAAATAGAAAGAGCGAAATCTGACCTGGAGCGTGCTTTGTATCAACCGAGCCCTTCTTCGGCGCGCGCGGTTTCTGACCTTGTGTCACCGTCCTTGTCGCTGTGTGGGTGCCCCAAGGGAGCATGTGGGGATTTTGAGGGCCCAGCTGCCAAAGTCTCAGTGATGGAATTCCAATAGATCCTTCTGACCCTCCACTGTGGACTCAATAGCAGGGAGATGAAGAGGACAGCGACTGAGAGGCCGAGGCAGCCCTTGGTTAAAGTAGAGCGCCCTCCCCGCGTCTGGGGCAGGTGGGGAGTGGTTAGGTGGGAGAGGAGGCCAGAGCCCACCTTCTTCCTCTTGGCCCTGACTCCACAGCACCCCCTGGTGCCCTGGGACGTGAGCCCCAGAGTCTCAGGGAACCAAGGGGCTTCTGGCCCTTAAGGGCCATTCAGAAAAAAGGAGACTGGGCACGGCGGCTCATGCCTGTAATCCCTGCACTTCGGGAGGCCCAGGTGGGAGGGTCACGCAGCGGTTCCTGGGCGACATAGCAAGACCTTGGGTCTACGAAAAATGAAAAATAAAAAATAAAAAACTGGCCGGGTGTGGTGGTGTGTGCCTGTAGTCCCAGCCCCTCCGGAGGCTGAGGTGGGCGGAGTGCTTAAGCCCAGGAGGTTGAGGATGTGGTGAGCCATGATTGGGCCAGCCTGGGCGGCAGTGAGGCCCTGACTCAGAAGGATAGACAAAGAAGTGAGGAGACTTGATCCTTTCCTGATTCCCCTGTCTGTTTCCAGGCAACCACCTGCCCCCGCTGTATCTGGACGGCCACGTGTTTGCAAGTCAGCCCCGGCTGGTTCCTCAAACGATACCTCAGCAGCAGAGTTACCAACAGGTGGCAGCAGCAAGCCCGGTGGCCTGGTGGGGGGAGGGGCGCCTCGGCACAGGGCACAGTCTCTTCCTGCGTCCGTGTGTTCGTTGTCTGTGATGCCCAGACCCGGCATATCATGGCAGCCAGAACATGTTTGTTGAATGAATAAACAAGAGACAAGGAAAAGTGTTGGAGTTAAATTTCCATTCTCACAATTCCTCCTAGCTTGGGAATTAGCTAAAATGGAATTTTCTTTGGTGATCAGGTATCCTTCTGATGAAGAGAAGAAAGGCCTAGACTCCCAGGCATGGATGCGTTAGAAAGAGGTAGTTTTAGAAGCAAGCAGGTGTCTGCTTTTGTGCAGGACTGGCATACTTTCGGTACTGCAAGGGGAGGATTTTAAGCAGTCTCCCTCCTAAGGCTGGTGCTGGGCCTTCCAAATTGTCCAGCCACCACAAGAGTGGCTCTCCCAGGCAGAACCGACTCCAAGCGCAGGCTCGAGGCCAGAGGACAGAGGACGTGGCCTGTCCTGACCTCTTTTCAGAAACGTAACCTTAGCAATATGCTGTTCAGCTGTTCTGCAAGAGTTTGATCCTTGTATCTCTGGGTCAGACTCGTGTGTCCTTCTTCCTGAAACTCCAGTCGTGTTTCTGAAATTCACCTCTCCTGCCATGTGTAGCTAGGATCCACTCTTGCCATTGTTGGGAATTCCAGTACAGGGACATGCCGTGGTTTGGGGTTGCTGCTCGTTTTCCACACAGAAGGGGAGCCCGGGAAGGACGAGCTGGAACTTGCTTTCAGGGCAGTGTTCCAACCGCCTTGTGGAGAGGGCCGGGGAAGGGGTGGACACCGCATGGGGGCCTCGCAGTCACCCGCCCGGCTTCCCACCGTAGGCTGCCGCCGCCCAGCAGATCCCGATCTCCCTTCACACGTCTCTGCAGGCTCAAGCCCAGCTTGGACTGAGAGGCGGGCTCCCCGTCTCCCAGTCGCAGGAGATCTTCAGCTCCTTACAGCCCTTCAGGTGAGCCGTGTGTGGACTTGCAGCGGACAGCTGGCGGCCAGGGCCTCCGCCCGCTTGCTCCCTTTGCTCTGTGCAGGGAGGGGGCAGCTCTTGATCACTCCACGGCGCTCTAGGGAGGCGGGCTGGGCTGATACGTGGCAGGCCTTGCTGTGTTTCTTCCGTGTCATCCTGCCTCCTTCCCTCGCTGCCCCCCTACCTTCCCCTGCCTTTGGCAGTGCCTGCAGTGTGTCCGTGTCCTGTGTGTGTGGACGTGTTCTTGTGTTTAGTCCATGGATGCTCAGTCTGTGTCTAGACCACCAGCAGCAGCAGCAGCAGCACCTAGGAGCATGTTATCAATGCATATTCTCAGACCTGAGCCAGGCGTAGTGGCTCACACCTGTGATCTCAGCACTTTGGGAGGCTGAGGCAGGAGGATCCCTTGAGCCCAGAAGTTTGAGACCAGCCTGGGCAACATAGTGAGACCCTGTTTCTATAAAAAAAAAATCATGGTGATATGTACCTGTAGTCCCAGCTACTTGGGAGGCTGAGGCAGAAGGATTGGCTGAACCCAGGAGACTGAGGCTGCGTTGAGCCATAATTGTGCTACCGTACTGCAGCCTGAGTGACTGAGTGAGAACCTAACACCAAAAACAAATAAATAAATGCACAAATAAATGCAGATTCCCAGGCCCTGGCGGGGCAGGGATGCGTGTCTAAGGCTCACTGTTGGAGACCCGGTGTGCTCCTCCTCCACGTGACCCCGACGGTCTGTCTGGTTTTTGCAGGTCTCAGGTGTACATGCACCCCAGCCTGTCACCGCCCAGCACTATGATCCTGTCTGGGGGCACAGCCTTGAAGCCTCCGTACTCGGCGTTCCCGGGCATGCAGCCCCTGGAGATGGTGAAGCCCCAGTCTGGCTCCCCCTACCAGCCCATGAGTGGAAACCAAGCCCTGGTCTATGAGGGCCAGCTCGGCCAGGCTGCCGGCCTGGGTGCCTCCCAGATGCTGGACTCCCAGCTCCCACAGGTCAGGAACTCAGTCACCCCGCCCAGAATGCAGTCCCTGCATGACTCCACCTTGCCCTTTGACCCGCCTTTCGTGTATGCCAGTGTGTTTGTAGCCACTGAGTTTGGTCCTCAGGCTGTGGGAACAGCGCTCTTCCGAGTCACCATCGCTGCCCTGTTGCTACGACCTGGCTCCCCTGAGCTGCTGTACCTGCAGGGCCCAGGGGCAGGCCGCGTCTTCTCTCCGCATGCTGATGGTGTGGCATGGAAAGGGCGGTGTCCCCCTCGCGCAGTTGCTGGTGCTTCCGGACGCCCTCCCGCCCCCTTCCCCGAAACCCCCGTTTCGACACCCACTCCACAGACTGTGCCTGACAAGCCCTCCACACCACCTCGAGTGCCACAGCCTTGCATCCGGTGTTCATTGTGAGGTCTTCCTTTCCCTTGCGCTGCGGCCCTGTTTGACACCTCAGGGAGTCACCCCCCTTGCCTCTCTCCTGGTTCGCGGCCTCCCTTTGCTCTCCTGTGCTCATTCCTGGTGGCTCTGATGTCTGCAGAGCGACCCCCAGGTCTCCAGGCCACGGACCCTGCCCTCCCAGCACGTCTCTCCTCCCACCTGTCCCCTTGTCCACCTCCGCCACCCACTCTGTGCACTCACGTCTAGACTTGGCCTTGACCGGCAGCTGTGGCTCTTGCATGGTCACAAGTTTAAGGGTCCCTCTCAGTTGGCACGTCTGCCTTTGCGAGTTCACTCTTCCCAGTGACCCAACTCTGAAATTCTCTGACCCCCTAGGGCCTCCCACCCACCTTTCATCACCCCTGGCACCTTGTCCTCACCTCAGCAGATCCATTGGAGCCACTTGGCACTGGCACCTAGCTGTGTCTCCCGCCTGGCCCCACCCTCCTAGCAGCTGTTTGGCACTTGCACCTCTCTCCTCTTTGCCCCCATCCCTGACCTCACTTTCTGTGTCGCCTAGGAGATGGAAGCGGTGGCACTCTGTGAGCCCCTGTGGCTCGGCTCCCTGCCTGTCCCGGGGGGAGGCCCAGCCACTCCAGGCCCCGTTCCAGCAAGGCCCCCCCCTTCCCTGCATCAGATGTCAGCATAGAAACCAGCTGTCACGCAGCTTCTTACTGGGGGTCCTCTCTGATGACACCCTGCCTGCCTTTGTCCCAGCTCAGTGGGGCCTCTGACTCTGTGATCCCACCGCCTCTGAGAGTCACTCTTCTTCCCGTGGTCTCGGCACTTCACTTGTGTCTTTCCTTCTGCCTCGGTCTCCCGCTGCCCGCCCTTGTCCTCCCCGTTCTGTAACAGTTGGCGTCGCCCCGGGCCCCGTCTTTGGGCCTCGTCTAGACCCATGGCTCTACATCCCGTCCATATTCGGATCATCCCCACCCACGTACCTGCAGCCCAGATCTGTCGCTGGAGTGGAATCAAGTCCCGTGGCCTGCCTGGTGTCTCTGTTTCCGTGTCTCGTGACATCTCAAACTCATGGTGTCTAGGGCTTGATTTTCCTGCCGGTCCTTCGGGTCGTGTGGCCCCTGCTTCTCCTCACTGCCCCTCCAGACCCTCAGCAGGTCCTGTCAGCTCCAGCTTCAGAAGGACTCAGAGTCCCATTGTTTTCTCGTGCTCTTCACCCCGCCGTGCTGTGCAGGCTCCTGCAGGGGCTCCTACCTGCCTTCCCGCAAGTCCGTTCACAGCCCCGGCCATCCCCCTCTACAAATGGCAGCGCCTTTTGGTGCTCCAGGGAGGAGCCAGGCGTTCTGAGGCTGCGGCCACCACAAGTCTCTGTGATGTCATTCCAGTAGATCCTTCCGACCCTCCACTGTGGACTCAATAGCAGGGGGATGAAGAGGACAGCAACTGAGAGACTACAAGTGGCCCCCCCCCCGCCTGCCCTCCTGTCCCCAGAGTCCTCAGGTCCACCTCTCCCATCACCATCTTGTTCTGGCCGCTAGATCCCAGGACCCAGTTGGACCTTATTTTCTGCCTCTCCTGATGCAAAATAGTGGATGAGTCTTAGGTTTTTGTGCTGTGTAGGGGAATGCAGAGATATACTCCCTGCAGTTGCTGTGTTCATCTTCTGGGACTTGGCATGGCCATGACTTCCTGACTTTCCTAACTCACCCCGTCCTTGCACACACACACGGGTCCATCGCAGCTCTGTGCCCAGAGTGTATGCAGCTGTGTCTGGCGGGTCACACACACCACCCTGCCAGTGCTGGCCTGTGCCTGACAGGGCTCTGTGCCCTTTCGCTGGACAATGGTTGAAAATACACACAGTCACCGGGCTTGGTGGCTCAGCCTGTAATCCCGCGCTTTGGGAGGCTGAGGTGAGTGAATTGCCTGAGACCCGTGGGTTTGAGACCCACCTGGGCAGCTTGGCAAGACCTCATCTCTGCAATAAATCAAAAAATGAACCATGGTAGCACACGCCTGTAGTTCCAACTACTTGGAAGGCTGAGGCGGAAGGATCGCTGGAGCCCAGCAGGTCGAGGCTGCGGTGGCCGGGAACGGCCAGTGCACTCCAGTCTGGGCGACAGAGTGAGACTCCGACTCAAAAAAAAGAAAAGAAAATATATACAGTCTTTTGTCGCGGCAGCAGAGTGCACGCTAACTCCTACGTCTCCAGTCAGCATACTCTCGCCTGCTTTCTCACCACCCACAGCATTCTAGCAAGATGCACCCCCTGCCATCAAGGGCGTAAAGTCCTAGGCAGTGTCGGCGGTGCTGCAGTGGAAATCCAGCACTGTCCAGGCCTTGCTGTAGTTCTGCAATAGAAGTCTGTGTGGCTGCTCTGCGGCGCGTGCGAGGTTTCTCCGCAGCATGCTCCCCCTCCTGACTGTCCCTCTCGTCCAACAGCTGACCATGCCACTGCCTCGGTATGGCTCTGGGCAGCAGCCGCTGATCCTGCCCCAGTCCATCCAGCTGCCGCCAGGGCAGAGCCTCTCCGTCGGGGCCCCCCGGAGGATCCCTCCGCCCGGGTCCCAGCCGCCAGTCCTGAACACCAGCAGAGAGGTAAAGGTGGCCCTGGGGGGGGACCTTGCCTCACCATCCCTTTGTCGAGCTCAGAGCCCCCTGGGGTGGCAAGTGCTGGTGGCTCGGGCGTGTGCCAGGCTTCCAGGGCTGCAAGGAGGCTGCATGGGATGAATGCCTCGGGTGGCTGAGGCTGTGTGCAGGGCTGACGCAGAAGCAGGTCCCAGAGATGCTGGGTGGGCACGGCCAGGGCTGAAGCCAGGAGTCTGCGTTTCTTACCAGCTTCCCAGGTGCTTCCGCTGCGAATGACCTTGGGTAGAGAAGTCATGGCCAGAGTTGGCCAGTTCCTGGTGGTCGTGCTCAATTAATTCCTGCACCTGACTTAAAAGAGACAAATATGCCGTGATGATTTCTACTTCTAAGAAGAAGCCCAGCTGAGGCGAGTGGATTGCCTGAGCCCGCGGGTTCAAGACCCACCCGGGCAACTTGGCGAGACCTCATCTCTACAATAAGTCAAAAATTAGCCAGGCGCGGTAGCACGTGCCTGTAGTTCCAGCTTCTTGGAAGGCTGAGGCGGAAGGACCGCCAGAGCCCAGTAGGCTGAGGCTGCGGTGACTGGGAGCGTGCCACTGCACTCCAGTCTGGGCGACAGAGTGAGACTCCAACTCAAAAAAATAAAATAAATAAGAAGAAACCCTCAGGCCGGGTATAGTGGCTCATAATGAGCCTGTAGTCCCAGCACTTTGGGAAGCCGAGGTCAGAGAATTGCTTGAGCCCAGGGGTTCGAGACTAGCCTGGGCACCACAGTGAGACCTCATCTCTAGAAAAATCAAAAAGTAAAAGAAAGAAAACAGAAAAAAGCCCTCGTTTGAGTCTAGATTGGAGGGGAGGGGGCTGCAGATTCATCCAGAAGATACGTTCCTGGAAATTCCCATGGGCCCTCACCAGCTCTGCCCAGGGTGGTTCAGGGCAGGCCAGGCTGTCTCCAGGGCCTCAAATGACAGTTCGTTGCCCCTTGGTCTCTTTAGTCCTCTCAGATGGAGATGAAAGGCTTCCACTTTGCCGACAGTAAACAGAATGTTCCAGCAGGAGGCCCTGTCCCACCACCACAGACCTACAGGTAAAGATACTCCCTGGGGCTTGGATGTGAAACACTGGGGACATGGCCCAGTGGCTCAGAAGAATCCAGGGAGAGTGGTCAGAGGGCACTGAGTCCTGGTCCCCATTAGGCCAGTGTGTCACTGTGCCGTCTCAGTGCTGGTGCACACTTGTGTTTTAGTTAACCACGGGGGAAATCGGGCATCGGGAGGGTGGTTTTGTGTTTAATCACCATAATAAGATGCTCTGGATTGGGGAGCTTTCTGGAAAGGTAGGAAGAGGAACAGTTCATGTTTTCGTAGACATCAGAGCCAACCCTAGCTGCTTACCAGACTTTAAAAGCAGGACCCGCTGTCCAGGAGAGGAGAATGGCCTCTCCCGGGGCCTCCTTAACTGGAACTCGCCCTCTGACCCCTGCCGGGTGACTTTTTGTTGCTGGGTCCGTGGGGACATTTTATGCGCACTCTGCGCTGGTCCCCTCCTCCTGCTTCGTGTTTGTCTCCACCTCCAGTAGCTGCCCCAGGTCCCCTTGGCAGATATGGAGGCGACTTTGTTGGGTTTCGGCAGAAACCTTTGGGTCCGCCGACTCCACCCCGAGTTGGGGCGTGAAGGCCACGTGCTCTGGCTCTGGGCCCCAGGGCTTGTACCGTTGGCTCTTGTGGCATGTGGGAGGTTCCTGGGGGTCCCCTGGTGTTGGCAAATGGTGGAACAGGCACCACGGGATCCCCCCATGAACATGCGGATGCCGGCTGGCTTGAGGGCCACTCTGCCCATCAGTCCCGTTGCCGGCGAGCTGCTCCTGCTGCGCTCGCTCGGCCCCTCTGCCCTTCAGGCTGTCTCCTCCGTCACGCCGTCCCACACTTCCAGACGCATCTCCAGAGGAGCGGTTTGGTGGATTTCCCATTTCGTCGTCTTTTCTTCGTTTTTCTTTTTTCATCTTTGCACACTCTTGGCTCCATTCGTTTTTGTGGATTCGTACGTTTTGTTTCCCTCCCATGTCTTTCACATAGGCCAGCACCTCAGAACTGGGTGCGAACGACACACATTTAGCAGGGCAAGGCAGTGAGTGTGATTTGGAGGAAAGGAGGAGGCTTCGAGTGTGAGCAGACGCTGCTGTTCCCCTGCTGCCACAGGCGCATTCTAGCAGCATCTGGCTACAAAACCTTCCACAAAGAGGCAGAGTCCAGAAAACATGCTCATGAGAGTCGGCTGTGTCCATTTAGCTGTAGGAGTGGCAGAAGATTATTCTTTGGAGAATATTTAGGAAATAGAGGCCTTGACCAGGCGCAGTGGCTCATGCCTGTAACCCCAGCACTTTGGAGTTTGAGACCAGCCTAGTGAGTCTTCGTTTCTACAAAAGAATTTAAAAATTAAGCCGGGCTCGGTGGCTGTGCCTTTGGGAGCTGAGGTGAGTGGATGGCCTGACCCCGCGGGTTCGAGACCCGCCTCGGCAGCGAGACCTCATCTCTACAATAAATCAAAAAATCAGCCGGGCGTGGTAGCGCACGCCTATAATTCCGGCTACTCGGAAGGCTGAGGCGGAAGGATTGCCAGAGCCTGGCAGGTCGAGGCTGCGGTGGCCGGGAGCGGCCACTGCACTCCAGTCTGGGCGACAGAGTGAGACTCCAACTCAAAAAAAAAAAAAAAAAATTAGCTGGACGTGGTGGTGTGCAACTGTAGTCGCAGCTACTCGGGAAGCGGATGCAGGAGGATCGCATGAGCCAGGATTTGGAGGCTTCGGTGAGCCATGATTGTACCGTTGTACCCCAGCCTGGGCAAGAGTGAGACCCTGACTCAAAATAATCATATACATATATAAGGCTTAGTGAATACTTTTATTTTGATGGTGTTTTAGGGTTGGGAGGATTGGCATAATGTTGTAAAACAGCCTCTGCCAAGGTTTTTTTGAACCAGAGGTGCTAAGAAATGACCTGCAAGAAAAACGGTTCCCCAGTCCGGTCCTTAGAGTGTGCTGTGTCCCAGGTGGCTGGGTGGGGAGTGGTGCTCGCCAGCACCAGGTCTAGCAGCCCTGCTGCTGAGCGTCCCTGGACTCTGTGCACATGGTGCTTCCTGCACTTTTTGGCCACGGAACCTTTTTTTCCACGCAGCACCTAATTAACATCCCTGAGAGCTGGGCATTTCCCTAATGGTCAGTGCAGTGCATTCAGAGGCATGCCACACATTTTTGCCACCCCACCCCTCTCTCTAGAAGTGGAGACGGGAAGAATGCTCAGCACCACTCTGGTTTAGTATCGGGCTTCTAGATCACCTGTCTGGGGCACTGCACCATGTTGGTGCAGATTCTGAGGCCGTCAGCATCCAGCTCTCCTCTGTAGGACAGCAGCATCTGCCCGTATAGGGGCCTCAGCCTCTCCCCTCTTCCGGCTGCGTCCCCTTGAGCTCCGTCTTGGAGGTGTCGGGGTGGGTGGTGACACTTCCCATCTCCCCGCTCTGCATTCTCGACTGTCTTGGGCCTGTGGCTTTTTCTGTCCACGAGGGCTGCGGACTGCCTCGAGCGAGTGCCTCTGGCCGTGGGGCCCTGCCGTCCTCGTGCCTCCTTTGTTGCTAGGCTTTGACTCCGTTCTGTGGTGACGCGTTGTGTATTCTCAACCCTGCCTTTGGTTTTTTCAGGCATAGCTCTGCTAGCCCCAGTGGGAAGCCCTCTGGATCAGCAGTTAACATGGGCTCTGTGCAGGGACACTACGTTCAACAGGTAGAAGATGGCTTTTCAGACCCTTCAGCCCTGGACACTTAGGCCTGTCTCCAAGCGCCAAGAGAGAAGGGGCTGTCCAGCCTCTCTGAGTGTTCCTCCTATAAAGAGAGACATGCCCTAGCGGTTAGGGCACGAAAGCAGGAGCTGGGCAGCCCAAGTCCCTCCTGGCAGAGGCATTTCTCCTCTTGACGGGCATCTGGATCCTTCCTTGTCCTGCAGAGAAGGGGGGATGCGGATTCCTCTGAGGAGGTGACGCCAGGAAGTGTGCTGTCCCAAGCACCTGGGGACTGTACGGCACTCTGGGAGGCATGTTAGGTCTGCGGGTTAGTGCTCACTGCAGGGCGTGAGCAAGCGGGTGTGCTTGCGGTGCTTGCTGGCTCCGGGGCGTGGTGTGTCTCTTCTTTGTCTTGGCCTTGGCTGGGTGGGGTCACAGGTGAAATAAGCTTTCCTGTTTCATAATAAAGAGGACTTCTCAGTGTGGTTTCCTGCAGGCACTGTTCTCTTCACTCCTGCTCTAAATGTGTCCTGGGTGCAGAGCTGGGTCCCCTCCGGCCTGGGTTTTGAGTCAAGCCAGCTCATCTGGCTGGGGGAGGTGGGAAGCCTGGTGCTCCAGTTCCACTCCTCCGTCCATGCCTCCCCCAAGGGCCCCTACTGGAACTGCATGGAATGAGCTTCTCAAGCTTTCCCCCAGAGTTCAGGCTGCTGTGGGGGGCAGACTCGGCTGGCGCGCTCAGTGGCGCCCCACCGTGCAGCGCCGCAGGCCAGTGGCACCCTGGCTGGGAATCTCAAGGTCACCTAGGGCCTGGGGGGGGGGAAAGAGGTTTCCTGATGGGAGAGGTGGAGGGTGGGAGCTTGACCAAGTCAAGGCCAAAGGTCTGGCAGAGCCAAGTCTTTCGAGAGGTCTCCGAGCCTCGTGGAATGCACTTGGGCCTGCTGTGGGCAGGGTTGCACTGACATGAAAAGGTCCTTCCTGTTGGCCTGGGGACCGGATAGGCTTCTGCCCTGGGACGGGCCATCACTGGACTCGCGGAGGCCCCAGTGTCTTCCTGGTGCTCCGAGTCACTGCACTCGGAGCCCTCAGGGAGGGAGAGACAGAGCAGTCACGCCACAGTCCTTGCTAGGAGAGCGGTGCTGTGGCTGGCCTCTGGCCCCGGGATGGACGGCCTGGGGTGGCTTTCCTATGACTCGGAGCAGGGAGGGGAGCAGGGGCCCGTGCTTCCAGACGGATGCTTCTGCATGTGGGTCACTTTTTCCCCTTGTTCATCTGTCCAAAGGCAAAACCACGAGTGGATGAAAAGCCCAGCCTGGGAGCCGTGAAGCTGCAGGAGGCCCCCTCGGCCACCGCCCAGATAAAGCGAACGGGCGCCATCAAGCCCCGGGCAGTCAAAGTGGAGGAGAGCAAGGCCTGAAGGTTCCTGGCTGCCGCCTCGCCTCGCCCACCGGGGACCGCGCCGCCCCTTGTGGCTGACGCGGCCGGCGCGGGAGCCTTGCCGGATCCACCGTCCACCTGCCTGGCCTGAACTGAGAGACTTCCCTCTTCTCCGCTCCCCAAAGTTCCATCATCAAGCAGCTTGCACCCGTGGATACATGGCATTGACCCGCTTGCTTTGATACAAAACAAACAACAAGCAAACGACTCCTCCGTCCCCCTTCCTCCCCCGTGACTGTGGAGTGAGCTCGTCCGCCACCGCCTCCTCCCGCCGCCAGCCCGGGAGCTTCTCAGCGCGCTTCGGCCCAGCCGCTTACCCCCAGGCACAGGGGCTTGGCCGCAGGGTCGCTTTATTTGGGGGCTTTTTGTTTTAAAAAGCAGACAAGGTTTTTACAAAGGGGAAAAGAAAACAAAAACGCAAGCTTCGTCTGTACAGCCGAACTTTTTGTACGGTCTTTGCCATCCTCTCTCCCTTCCCTTCTGTCTCCCTGTCTCCAGTGGCTTCCTCTCACCTCTGTCCTGTTCGATTTGATACGTCACTGCGGTACCTTAAGAGACCACTGCGCCCCTCCTGCTCCCTTAATCCTGTTCACTGTCGAGTTCTTTGCAAAAGGAAAGGGAGGTTATTTAGGATCCTGGTGGGTTGCAAGCACTGAGTGGGTGGGGTGAGCAGAGTGGCAGGCAGATTGGCGGCTGGCGTCTCCTTTGGGTTCCCAGGGGGCTCCCAGACACCTGCGATGGCGGTGACGTTTTAGCCTAAAAATAACACGGGATTCCTGTCCTGGAAGCCAGTAGATACACTGACCCCTGGGCCCCAGGGGTGAATCCTGGAGACTCACTGGTATCTTTCCGGCCAGCCTGTTAGCTGATGCACCCTGGGCCCCACCCCAGTCCCCTGCTCTGATTCTGGGTCTCCGAGCCCATCCCTGGGGGTGCTTCCTCTCAAAGCCCTCCAAAATGTTTCCCTTTCCTCTTCCAGAGGCTGCTGCTTTCTTAGGACCCGCCTCCCCCTCCCACACGGTTCATCACTGAAGCCACAGAGTAATAAAACACTTGCCAGGTCTCGGCCGCAGCACAGGCGTGTGGTCCCTGAGCAAGGCTGCTGGGAGTCTCCTTTTCCTGTCTCCACTCCCAGCAGCTGACCCGGCTCTTGGGCAGAAGGGTCAGAGCCGGGCAGCAGGTGTCAGTCTCACTGGTGTCTGACGGCCAGGCGGGTCCAGGATGAGGCTGGGCCGGGGCAGTCCTTGAGGACATGTAGCGTCTGACGCGTGTCGAGCTCCCCTGGCAGAGGGGTGGTGGGAGCTGCTGTGCACTGGGCTTTCTCTGGTTTCAGAAACAAGGAAATCATCCCAGGTTCTGCCCGTCCAAGGAAAGGGAAGGGGGCTCCGAGTTTTTCAGATGCTCTGTAGGGTCACTGTCCAGCCATCCACCCAAAGGTGCTGCTGGCACCACTGGTGGCTTCAGGGGACAGCCGGCTCAGGACGCACACTGAGGGCGGGAGGGCAGAGTCCACCCCGTATCACGTGAGTTAGCCCCTGGGCGGGCTGTCAGCACTGTGTCTAGTGCCGGGCCTGGGCAAAGGCATCTTAGGGCCCCTGAGGCATCTTCTCGTGACTCTGATTCCAAGGAAGTGGGGAAGCGCCTCCTGAAGCAGTGCCTGAGTGCCAACTGGTGCCACCTGGGAAGTGCAGGCTGACTGCAAAATGCTTTCTGTTCAAGCTGTGTCTCCCAGTGCGTCCCTCCCTCCCCCCTGGCCTCCTGCCACCCGCCCTCCTTCACCCCTAGTCTTTTCAGGCCCTTCTCAAAGGGCTGTCCACCTTGGCAGCGTCCCTGGCCCACCCCCCACGTCCCACCTCATCTGCTTCTCCTCCCCCTGCAAGTGTCTGGGTGAGGGGCCTGGGGTAGATCCTCGGCCCTGCCCACCATCCCTGGCTGAGTCTGGGTCTGCAGGGGTCACCAGCGCGTGCACCTCCATCAGGACGCGAGACACGGCCAGACCCCCCCCACTGAAGCCGGGTGCGCCTTGTCGGTCGAAAGAAAAGGTGATTTTCTCATTTTGAAATTCAACAGGACAGTCCTGGATGCTGTTACAAACTCAAGATGTATCCTGTATCCTTCAGGTGAACCTGCCGGCCGAACGATAGTACTTGCTATTTGAGAAAAAAATAAAAACCAAAAGGTCACCTGTGCTCCAGCCCTTTTCTCTTGCCCCATTACTCCTTCCTCCCCCCACCCCAAATAAAAACAAAAAACACTAGAATTTATTTATATGTATTAATGTTGTAGGTCTAGGTGGAAAAAAAAGTAAATGTTTCACTGCTCTATTTATATATCCTGTCTGAATTCTGTGCGGGATAGGCCAAGAATTGCATGTGAGGTTCAGTGCGGTGTCCCACCTCTGCGTGGCCTGGGCTGTAGTCTCTTTCCTGCCGAGATGCAGATTTTAAGTGAGACTCTGTGGGGGCAGAGGGCCTCCTGAGACCCTCACCCCCTTCCTTGGTCTGATGAAATGCAGTTTTTAGTGCAGAGATGTCTTAAGGTGCAATATCTCTCTTCCTTTCATGTGGTTTTAGAGTCAGGCTCAAGGTAGTAAGACTTAGGGCCTTGTTTCAGTTTCAACCCCCCATCCTAGGGTGCAGACATGTGCAGAGGCTTCCGCCAGGATGCTCCTGGGGAGCCTTGGGACAGATGAGACCAGCCCTAACTGCTGCCACTGGGACTGGGGGCAGGTGCAGAATCCTCTCACCTTTGCCTGCTGTAGTGTGTCCAGTGATCATCACCCGGTGGCCGTGCAGGGGGGTTTGCCCAGCATCCCTGACTCGCGAGGTGGGTTCCAGAGAGTGGGTGTGCATCTGAAACGCCTTGGCCGTACCCGGTCTTTCTTCACTGGTACTTCCCCTCTTTTATTCACATCATCATGCTTTTCAAACCTGGAGTTCATAGAATACTTCGGCTCCAGGCTCCTTTAGAGTGGAAACAAAGGATGGCTTTATTACACATTCAGAAAACTCGATTCCGTCCCAAAGCCGTGGCCATTCCAGCCGCTTCTAGGGACACTGGGGTATCTTGCTGAATATCGACATCAGCTCTCCAGCTGTGCCCCCGCTCACCTGTCTTCTGGGGCTGACTGAGGGGTGGTCGGTGAGGCCGTTTGTGACTGACCGATGCCCAGAGCTGAGGAGAATTGCCGTGCACCACTAGACACAGAGCTGAAGCAGTGCTGGAGTACCAGCTGGGAAGGGCAGTCTTCACTGGAAGATGCTTTCTGTTTAATCTGTAGCTTGCAGTGCTGTGTCCTGCACAGCCGTGTTGTGACTGGCCTGCTGAGGCAGGGCATGGCAGCTCTGGTGAAGCCCCTCTCCCTGGCCTTGAGTCGCTGCATGTTGCTCCTCAGACCTTTGTCCCTTTTCACTTCCTGCAGAGCAAGCCTGGGTTCGAGGGTCTGCTGGAAATGGCCTTGACAACCACGGATACTAGAGTGTGTGCTTTGTTGTGTTCTGTGGTGAGAAAATGCATCCTTCCAGAAAGCCAGCTCTCCTCTGAAATGTGAGACGGACCTAAGACAAGTATGTCATCCGGGACAGGAGTGGCTTGGTGTTGGGGACGGACACCGTGTCACCCAGTCACACGCCACCGGGGCCTGTCTGGTGAGTGCACGGAACCTGCTCACTGTTCCTCCACCCCAGTTTGGTGGCCTCCAGAAGGGCAGCAGCACCCCAGGGCCCCGTCTTTGGCACCTTCTGACGCCTCAGAGTGGAAATCCTCACAAAGGCTCTGCACGGACGACTTTCTTCCATTGTTCCGAGAGGACGCTGTACTCTTAAGCTTTTGCCCTCATGCTTTGCGTAGTAAGAAGAGGATTGGGGGGTTTTGTTTTGTCTTTGAGAGGGTTTTGTTTTTGTTTCTTTTTGTTTTGGCCTTTCCTCTTTGTCTTTTCACGTAGACCAGATATTTGAAAGGGCAGACGATGGCTAAAGGTGTACCGTGCAGCTCGTCGGTCCATTGCTTTGGGGAAGCTGACCTTGGATGGGAGATGGAATCATGGACTTACCAGCCAGGGCTGGCACACTCCCCTTCGCCCTTTCCCCCGGTTCAGTACCTATTGTTTCTCCTTTCAAATATGTGATTGTACTCGCTCTTTCCATATGAAAGAATTCTCCTTATTTAAATAAAAAAAAATTTAAAAAATCAAGTTGAACGTGGCTTTCTCAGATTGCATGCCCCTCGTTTCTCGGTCCCTTTGGAGAGACCTACCAGATGGGAGAGCTCCAACTTTGTGAGCAGTTTACAGGGAGGTGAGGAGTAGCTTGGCCTAAACGCCTTCACAGAAGCCTTGGGGGAGGAGGGTGGAAACCTGTGGATAAAGAGCATCTACAAAATGCAGCAGGACCTCTTGGTCTCCACCTGCTCCCATGCGGTCACCACCTGCCTGCTCCCTGCCTCCCGCACTTGCAGTGAGAAGTGGGTTGGTCAGAGGAGGTAAGCCCTGCTGCTCTTGGGGCTTTGTTTTTTTTTTGAGTTGGAGTCTCACTCTGTCGCCCAGACTGGAGTGCAGCGGCCGCTCCCGGCCACCGCAGCCTCGACCTGCTGGGGATCCGGTGATCCTTCCACCTCAGCCTTCCGAGTAGCTGGAATTACAGGCGCACGCTACCATGCCCAGCTGATTTTTTAATTTATTTTAGAGATGAGGTCTCGCCAAGTTGCCCAGGCGGGTCTCGAACCCGCGGGCTCAGGCAATCCACCCACCTCAGCTGCCCAAAGGCGCGGGATTACAGGCTGAGTCATCGAGCCCGGCTTCTCGGGGCTTTTTGCAGGAAGCATGGAGGGTCATGCTGCATGCATTGGGACGGAGAAGGAGCAAGCCAAGCCTGAATCAGCGAGGGTTCAAGGATGTAGACGGGTTCCAGCAACAGTTCTCAGTTCTGCCACTGCCTACCTGTGTGACCCTGGGAAAGACATTTCACCATCTGCGTGGCCCTGCCTCATGGGGTAATGTGCGTTCACAAAGAGGTGACTGGCGCCGGGGGGGGGGGGGGGGC